CCTCGACCTCGGCCCGCGCCTCGCCGGCGCCCTCCCACGCCTCGAGCCCGCGCAGCGTGTAGGACATGAACGTGCACAGGTCGTCCGTCGTCGGCGCGTAGCGCGAGGCCAGCGCGTCCAACAGCACCCGGTGCAACGCCTCGTCCCTGTGCGCAGCGCGTGTCGTGCGGTTATGCATGTGTCGTGCGATCGCGCGTGTGCGGTGGGTGAGCGGGGCGCACCTGCATTGGCTGAGGGCGGGTGGGATGTCGCCCTGCAGGAGGGCGATGCCGCGCTGCTTGTCCTCCTTCTTGATGATGAGAATCGACTCACCGTACTCGTCCAATCCCGCCTGCAAACGTCGTCTGGCCGTCAGACGCACACGGCACACGGCACACGGCACACGGCACACGGCACACGGCACACGGCACACGGCACACGGCACACGGCACACGGCACACGGCACACGGCACACGGCACACCGGCACACGCGCGACTGCGAGAGGGGGGAGCGTACGCGACCGGCGCGGCCCACCATCTGGAGATAGCGCGCCCGAGTCAGGAACGCATTGCCGGTGTAGGGCGCCCGGATGATGACGCGCCGGGCCGGCAGGTTCACCCCTGCGTGCGCCGATCAGATCAGACCTCACCGCACCACACGCCCGCACAGCGAAAAAGAAAAGAGAGAGAGAAAAGAAAGAAAAGGTTGCAGTACCTGCGGCGAGGGTCGATGTACAGAGCAGGACGTTGATGGCGCGCGAGCGGTAGGCCTCTTCGATGATCTCGCGCTCCTCGGTGGTCAACCCTAGTCAAACCCGTTCGCGAAGTGAGTCAGCAAAAGTCTGGTCGTAATCCGATTGGTGGTGGCGCGGTTGTGCGGTGGTACCCGAATGGTGGTAGGCCACGCCGGCCGGGAGCGTCGAGGCCAGCAGGGAGTCGACCCCACTCCCCGACGCCCTGAGACGCTGCAGGACCAACTCCCTGGCTTGCCTGACGACCACGGCACACACGACACACGGTCATCGGTGAGTGGCACGTGATGGGCAGTGTAATTACTATTGGGCAGTACCGCAAGTCGGGGCTGGCGGGCGGCAGCGCGACAGACAGGGTCTTGGCGCACACCTCCGTCTGTCGCTTCGTGGGGCAGAATATCAGCACGCTGTGCTGCGGAATCACCTGCAGTGGCACCACCACCACCAACCCGATAGGGAAGACCCTCTATTAGTTGACGTGCGTTCGCGTGCGTTGTGTTGGGCTGCGTCGCATTGCATTGCAGTGTGTACCTCGGTGATGAGCGGCAGCATTTGTTCGGCGTCGTGCGAGTCGGGGTCCATCCGCCGCAGGCGGTGCCCTCTTTCATCGAACACGTGCGACCCGATCTTGATCTGTTGACGGCAAAGTCAACACTCAGCACATAGAACACGCACACGCACACGCACTACCTCACACGCACACGCACACGCACACGCACACGCACACGCACACGCACACGCACACGCACACGCACACGCACACGCACACGCACACGCACGACAAGCGCGGTACCATTTGTCGCAGGGGCACGGGACGAAAATCGGTGGTGTAGGTGGTGGCACGGAGCCAGCGGCCCACCTGGGGCAGGTTGCCGATGGTGGCCGACATCCCCACGATCTGGGTCGTGGGCGACAGAAAGAGCACCTTAGAGAGCAGGTGCTCCAGCGCCGCGCCTCGCTCGCCGTCGCCGATCATGTCTGCGTACACGGGACGTCGAGTCGGGTCGGTTGGCAACGCTGCACTCAGAGGGAGGGAGGGGGCTTTGCGCACTTACGCAGCTCGTCGACCACCACGGCGCCCAGCTCGGCGAGCCGGCCCTCTTCCGCCAGTTGACTTACGATCACTCCTGCCTGTCCACATGCGATCGTGAGAACACACACGCCACACACGACACACACGACACACACGACACACACGACACACACGCCACACACGACACACACGACACACACGACACACACGACACACACGACACGCGCGGCCGACACACGTTCATGCCTTCTCGATGGTGGCTACGGCGATGATCGGGGCACGCGGGAAGGGAAAGCGGCCCTGGTAGGAATGGTAGGCCTTGCGAGAGGGCAGGTGTCAGACACGGTGATGATAAAGGTGGGTGGTGGATAGTGGGTGGTGGGTGGTGGGTGGTCGGGTGGTGGGTGGTGGGTGGTGGTGGTGGGTGGTGGGTGGTGGGTGGTGGGTGGTGGGTGGTGGGTGGTGGGTGGTGGGTGGTGGGTGGTGGGTGGTGGGTGGTGGGTGGTGGGTGGTGGGTGGTGGGTGGTGGGTGGTGGGTGGTGGGTGGTGGGTGGTGGGTGGTGGGTGGTGGGTGGTGGGTGGTGGGACCGACCTCGGTGCGAAAGCCCAGGGCGGTGGTGAACTGCTCGAGAGCCAGCGACTTCTCGGCCACGAGCGACACGTAGGGCAGCACCAGCAAGCCTTTTAAAAGCGTGCAACGTTGCGGTGTCGTGAGCCAAAAGTCTCCGGGAGCGACCAACGCACCTTTTTGGGCGCTTCACTCGAGCGCTTACCTGTGCGGCCGGCCACTTGAATGCAGCGCAGCAGAGCTATCTCCGCCACGAGGGTCTGGTGTGCTCACGAGAGGGGGAAGGTGATGGCGCACGCGTCAACACGAAGAAGACGGACGGACGGACGGACGGACGGACGATGAAGAAGAAGAAGGAATGTACGCGTACCTTGCCGCCCGAGGTCGGGAGGGACAAAAGGAAGTTTTCGCCCGAGAGAAAGGCCCTGCTGTTCAAACACTCCAGCTGCCACTCTAACCACCGCAAATGTTAGTATATATTTATTTATTTATTTATTTACATCATTTATATTTATATCTTATCATCCCGGTTAGTATTTATTAATTTATTTATTACTAGAATAAATAATAAATAAAGCAACAGAGGTAATACCATAAAACTGGGTAATGCCGCGCTGGCCCAAGATCTCGGCCACGGCTGGTGGCAGACCCCAGAGGCTGCCCTCCCCTTCTTCTTCTTCATCGTGGTCGCCTTCATCTTCGTCTCCTCCCGTTGCCGCCTCACCGAGCCACGTCGATTCAGAGATGTCGGCGCCCAGCAGAAGGGAGGGGTCCTCCTCGTGGGGCTCCAGGAAGGACTCCTCGCTGACCACGATGGGGCACGAGGGCAGGATCTGATCGTAGTCTTCCTCCTCCTGCAAGTGTGGTGCATCGGCAGCGGCCATCTGCTGCATGATGAACGCCCAGTCCTGCTCATCCTGCAGCGATTCGCCTTCATTCAGGATCGATGTAGTAGAGGCTGGACGATGTTGGAGATGGGGGGGCCGAGGTGCTGCTACGCGGACGTAGCCATTCGATGGCGGTGGAGCCGGCTGTGGGTGGCGCAGAGGCAGCGGAGGGAGGATGCTGACAGCACTCGGCCGTTTGCTCTGCGAATTGTCGTGGCCGGTGGTGGGCAGAGGGCGCTTCGACCCCACCGCCGCCCTCATCATCCTCCAGCTTCGCGTATGGGGACGAAAATCGCGTTAGGCTGAGAAAATCTCTTCGATCTGTTGGATGCAAATATTTTCGAGGAATTGAATGTACTGCTACCTGAGGTATTTCAAGCATTAATGTTATTTAAAATATTTACGGAATGTCGCCTGCTTTTCTCATTTCTGCGGAAATGAATCGTGGCATGTCGGCCCCAACGAACGTCCGCCACGTCCCCGCACGCCCCAACAAATAGCTCAACTTATTTGGCAACAGCGCAGCACGGCGTACCACAAACCATAGCTCACCCATCTAGAGACCTTTATGCCGTCCACAAAGGTGAAGGCATTGGGTCTGTTGCTGGTCCTCTTTGGCCTCGGCCAGCACGTGCAGCTCGGCTCGACCCAGGCCGCCGGCCTCGTCGACCGGTACGAGTTCGATCTTGGGTGTTTTGTTTTGAATCAAGATGTCTGTTTTCATCTAACACATCTCTCATCTATGATCCAATCAGATTGGTGCTCAACGCGGCCACGAGCGCGCTGCAGGAGGCCTTCGAGCTGATGAAGCACAAGAAGCCGACCGAGATGTGGGACGAGTTCATCCAGTTCGTCTTCCCGACAGGCCCAGACAACACCAGGGTTCGGTTTCGCTTCTTATTTTTTTTTTTTTTTCTGCCACGTGGCGCACCATGCTTTCGCGCCAAACGTGTGTCGTGCCGTGTGCGGTCGCACATGTGTCGTGTCGTGTCGTGTCGTGTCGTGTCGTGTCGTGTCGTGTCGTGTCGTGTCGTGTCGTGTCGTGTCGTGTCGTATCGTGTCGTGTCGTGTCGTGTCGTGTCGTGTCGTGTGCCTGATTGCGTTTGGGGGGTGCAGGTGTTGCCGTACGATGGGGTGGTGGACGTGAATTCGGTGGCGGCGGTGCTCAACGGCAAGGGGTGGGACGTCATCTTCGAAGAGGGCTATCACAACTACCTCCAGCGCATCGGCCACAAGAAGGCCGTCCGCACCTGCTTCAAGGTCTTCATCTTCTTCATCATCTTCTTCTTCATCGTCATCATCATAATCAACTCAATTTCTAACACACGACACTCAAACGCACATGCACGACCGCACACACAGGGCCGGTTCAATACGGGCAAGACGTTCGTGTTGGGGATGTTCGCCGGCTCGCCGCCCCCGAACGGGTACACGCTGCACACGCCGGGCCTGAGCGTGAAGTACGTCAACACCACGAGCGGCCTCGACCTCCTCTTCATCGACACCGCCGGCACCGACGTCCCCGTCCTCAGTACACCTCCACCGCCACCTTAACCCCCATTTTTCAACCGCCACCTTAACTCCCTTCAACCGCCGCCTTACATGTGTCATATTGCGCGTGTGCGGTGGTGCGTGTCGTGTCGTGTCGTGTCATAGATGAGCTGCAGCTGTTGGATCGGAGGTTGACGGACGCGTTCCTGCAGGAGCTGATCTTTTCGCTGTGCGACACGGACATCTTTGTGGTGAACCAGGTCACCCTGGCCGACCAGATCTTCCTCACCGCCCTCCAGAAGCGGCTCCAGCGCGACTACCCCCACCAGAAGGTGCGCATCAGCAGCCACCTTAACCTACTCAGCCGCCACCTTAACCAAGCAGCCGACACCTTAACATGTGAGTGTGGTTGGTGATTAATTAGGTGAAGGATCGGTTGCTGCTGCTGCACAACCTGAAGGACATCGAGGAGGTGGCCGACGTGCAGAAGGTGGTGGAGGAGGACATCAAGGGCGCCTTCAACGCCACCGAGGGCGACAACGAGGGCACCTACTACACCTCCCAGCACTTCTACCACTTCATCGTACGTCGACCACACGACACACACACGCACACACGACACGACACGACACACACACGACACACGACACACTCGACACACGACTTACGACGCTGTACGATGCGACACATGCAGGTGGCGCGCCAGGGCACGGCGGCGGGCCAACACTACAACCAACGCACCATCAACTTCCTCAACAACCTCCTCGCCAGCAAAATGGACCGCAAGGAGGTATGCACTCACCGCACACGCGCATCGCACACGCCATCGCACACGCACACACCGCACACAAGCCGACGTGTGTCGTTCCATGTGTGCGGTCGGTGGTGGGTGGATGGGATGCAGGTGTCGTCGCTGCTGCCGGATCTTATGCAGCACGCCGAGCGGCTGCTCAAGACCAAGTACCTCGTCAAGGTGCCCAGCAAGGAGGAGGTCGCCACCCAGCAGCAGCAACAAGCCGCCAACACCCAAGCCAACGTACTACACGCATACGACACGACACGACACTCGCCCACCGCACACGCACACCACACGACACTCGTTCACCGCACGCACACACACGCACACACGCACGACACGCGCGATAGAAGGGCTTGTTGAAGCAGGTGGCGAACTACCTGGGGGTCAAGTACCTGTTCGACCTGGCGGCCCAGCCCAGCGCCGGCGCCGGCGCCGAGAGTGCGCCGCCGATGCGGGAGGAGGTGGACATCAACGGGCGGGTCAACTTTGAGCTCACCTTCCACGAGGCGTCGGGCGCGGTGCGTGACGAGGGCAGCGGCCGCACGACCAACTACATCCCCTCGATCAGGCCCAAGACGGAGGTCGGCCCCGAGATCAGCATCTCGCCCTTCCTCCAATTCAAGGAGGACGGGTTCGTCGACTTCATGTTCAACGGACTCTTCACCCAGCCGGTACGGCGTGCGTGTGTGTTTGTCGTGAGCCGTGCGTGTCGTGTCGTGTGTCGTGCCGTGGCTCACACAATGACACGCGTCGCGAGCAGATGACGGTGGGGCAGAAGGACGGCAAGGTGACGATCACGGTCGACGTGCCGGGCGTCGAGAAAGTCCACTGGCAGACGCTGGGCAACCAGGTCTTCATCCGGTTCGTTCCCCTGCCACCTCTCTCGCACATTCGCACACACGGCTCACCGATTCATTGATGTGTGTGCGGTCCGCGCGTGCGGTGGTGTGCGGGGTGCGTGCGGTGGCGTGTGCGGTCGGGCGTGTGCGCAGGGGGTGCCGAGGGGTGCAGAACGACTTCGATCGGATGCTGCGGGAGGAGCGGTTCGCCGGGTGCTTCCAGAAGCACCTCGAGGTGCCCCAGTTCTTCATCGATCGCGCCCAGAGCGTGGCCACCCACGAGCACGGCGTCTTCACCCTCACCCTCACCAAAGAGGAGCCCTTCCTCTAATCTTCTTCATCTTCATCTTCATCTCATCTTCTTCATCTTTTGTTTATACAATTTTTTAATTCTACTCCTTTTCACCGCACACGCGCACCGCACGCACCGCACGGCCATGACACACGCGCACCGCACGCGTTGGGTTTGGGTTAGGGGAGGGTGGCGTGGTAGGCCTTGAGGCGTCGGTGGATCTGAACAAAGTCGGGCCGGTCGTCGGCGTTCTTGGCCCAGCAGTCGGACATGAGCTGCGCGTACTCGGCCGGCGTCTCCCGCGGCACCGTCGGCCTGAGGCCTTCGTTGATGATCCCCAGCGCCACCTCCATCACGTTCGTCATGTCCGCAAACGGCTCCTCGCCGCGCGTCAACAGCTCCCACATCACTGTGTGCGCACACACGACACGACACGACACACGACACACGACACACGCGTGAATTCATGGGTTGGCGCACGAGGGAGAGCGAGCGAGTGGTACGGTACCGATGCCAAAGGCGTAGGAGTCGCTCTTTTCGCTGTACACTGATTTGGAGATGACCTCGGGCGCGAGCCACCGGACGGCGCCGATGTTGCCCCGCGTCTTGGCGTAGGTGTCCTTGGGCATCATCCGCGCCAGCCCAAAGTCGGCCATCCGCACCCGCCAGTCCCGCCCGACCAGCATGTTCCGCAGCGCCAGGTCCTGCTCACCGCACACGCATCACCGCACACGCACCACCGCACACGCACCACCGCACGCACACGCACACACACAACCGCACACGCACGCATGAGTGTTGCCACGTCATCACCGACCGGGTCACAAAAAAAGGTGTTGGTACGTACCCTGTGGATGATGTGTTCGGCGTGGAGGTGGAGAATGCCGGCGGCCGCGTCCAAGGCCATCCCCACGATCGTCTTCCACGGCAAATCGGGGTTCTGTCGTGAGGCGGCCACGCCCGCGAATTGTTCACAATTCGTGCACACACACGTCAGTCGCGATCTCGACAACCACCACCACCACTATTTCTTAAGAAGGCGGAGTGGGCGTACATCTGCGAGCGCGTCCCGTACGCAGCCTCGCTCCATGTACTCCGTAACTGTTCCGACCACAGCAGAAACGTTCAGACATTGGAGTGATTGGGGGGTGATGGGGGGGGGGGTGACGTGCCTATACAATAATGGGGGAACTTGGTGGAGATGCCACAAAATTTCACGATGCACGGGTGGTTGCTGTACTTCCTGCACGAGTCCACACGACACGACACGACACACACGACACACACGACACGCACGACACGCGCGCGAGTGCGAGTGCGAGTCAGAGTCAGAGTCAGGAGCGGGGAGGGGGCGGGGGAGGGATTGGACGCGTACTCCATGATGGAGGCCTCCCGCTTGAAGTTGTACACTTCGGCATCGGTGAACTGCATCACCATCAGCTTCTTCACCGCCACCGGCGTCCCTGTTTTGTCGCATGCCGACATTGACCCTGAGCTCATCCCCGCGCTGTGCGTGTCGTGTCGTGTCGTGTCGTGTCGTGTCGTGTCGTGTCGTGTCGTGTCGTGTCGTGTCGTGTCGTGTCGTGTCGTGTGCGCGTGTACAGCAGAGCGTGTGCGGTGCAGCCGAGTACCTCGCCAGAGGGCCTTGTAGACGACGCCAAAGGCACCGTTGCCGAGCGGCTTCGGGTCAAACTGGAGCTCCTCGTAGGCGATCTCGTGGTACGCCTTTAGCAGAATCTCCCGTCTGTCACACACAGCCCCGACCAGATGACACGACACGACACGACCAACGACACGACACGACACGCGCGTTGATGAGAAAACAAGTCGACGCGACGTCGGGGCCGAGAGGCGATGGTGGCGATGGTGATGACGTACACCGAGGCGCGCTTGGCCAGGCGCTTCTTCTTCCTCTTGCGGGCCTTGGCGGCCTCGGTGCTCGCCGTCGTGCTGCTGCTGGCGCTGGCGCCGTTGGAGTCCTCCTCGTTGTTGGCGTCCTCCTTACCGGCGCCCTCGCCGGCGCCGCCGCCACTGCTCTTATTGCTCTTGTTGCGGCTGCCGACGCGCTTCCTTCGCTTGTCCTTGCCCTTCTTCTTATTCTCGTCCCACTCGTCGCCGTTGTTGCTGTCGCCGTCGTCGCCTGCGGCGGCCGCGCCGTATTCGGCCACCGCGCTGCCGCCGTACTCGGCCGTGCTGGTCGCTCCGGCGGCGCCGTACTCGGCCGTCGCGCTGCTGCCGCCGCAGGCCGCGGCGACCACGGTGAAGCCCAGGGACGACTCGCTGGTGGTGGTCGAGGCGGCGGCGCCGTACTCGGCCACTGCGCTGCTCCGCACGGTGGTCGCGAAGGCCGCGCTGTCGGCGCCGTACTCGGCCAGCGCGTTGGCCTGCTTGGCCCGCACGGCCGCGTCGACTTCATCGCCGCCATCGCCGTCGTTCGCCTTTTCCTTCTTCTTTTTCTTCTTTTTCTTTTGCTTCTTTTCGTCGTTGTCGTTCTCGTTGTCGTCGTCGGCTTCGTCTTCGCTTTCCTTCTTCTCCTTCTTCTTCTTGTCGGCGGCGTTCTCCCGGGACTTGCGGCGGTTCCTGGTCTCGCCGAACTTGGACGAGGCCTCGTCCTCCTTCTTCTTGTCGAACAGGGACACGCCCACGCTGAACGACTCCAGCAGTTGCGCGTCGTCCTGCGAAGTCTGCACCCGCGCCCGGAGCGCGGCCTGCTCCCTCCGCAGCTGCTTCAGAATCGCCTGCAGCTCGGCGATCTGTGCCGCAGAGGCAACGAATCAGTTTGTTGCGTTGCGTTGCGTTTGAGTCGGGAGCGAGGAGGGTACCTTATCGTTGGCGTCGATGGAGTTGTCCTTTTGCTTCTCCTCAAACTGAAGAATGCGCGTGGAATGTAAGCGAAAAACAATAATAAAACAATAATAAAATGAGTGGCGCCACATGAGAAACGCAGAGAGGGGTGGGATGTGGGTGGGTGACCAGACCTCGTTCAGCATCTTCTGGTAGTCCCGCTTCATCTCGATGAACGAGCCCAGGAGCGAGCTGGCCCGCTTGGAGGCCCGCTTGGCGGCCCGCTTGGCCGGCTCCTCCGCTTCGGTCTCCTCCTCGCCGCTGCCGACCTCGACGCCGACGGCGACGGCGACCTTCCGCTCTCGGTCGCTGCTGTCGCCCCCCTTCTCCTTCTCCTCGCCGCTGCTGCCCCCTCCGCCGCTCTCCTCCTCTTTCGAGGCCTTCGCCGCTGTGGACACCTCGACCGCCGCCTTTTCGCCGCTGTCTGCGCCACTGTCGACAGTGGTGGCCGCCGCCGCCGCAGTCGCCTTGAGGTCCTCGACAGCGCCGCCCTCAGCCGCGTCCGACTGCGCCGCGGCCGCCACGCCGGCATCGGCGGCGGCGGCCCGCTTGTCTTCGCTCTCTTCGTCGTCGTCTTCGCCGTGCCCGATCCCGCTGGCCTGGAATTTGGAGAATAGGTCGGCGAAGCCGTCATCCTTCATGACGTCCATCTCGTACTTGCGGTACTTGCTGGTGCCGAAGAAGCGCCGGCCCTCGCCGTCGTCCTCCTCCGCCGGCCCCGACGTGGCCACGGCCGAGCTGTTGGTGAGGGCCTGGCGCGGCGAGCCCTGGAGGTGGCCGTGGCCGGCCTTGGTGGCCAGCGGACCCGAGGCCCGGTTGAGGCCACCGGGGCTCGATGCGAACTGGCCGGCCACCATGTTCCGAGCGAAGCCGCTCGCCATGCTGCCGGCGACCTTGGTGGGCGTGGCCGACGCGGAGAAGCTGGTCTGCTGCTGCGCGGTGGTGGTCATGGTGGACGAGGTCGCGTTCATCATCTCACCGGTGTTGACGTGGACGACGTTGGTGGTGGTGTTGCTGCGCCGCTCCTTCTTGACGGTCGAGCTGCTGCTGATCGTCGTGTTGGCCCGCTCCCGCTCTCGGTCCCGCTCCCGGTCCTTGGTGCCGAGGCTGGCCGTGCTCAGGCCCAGCATGGCGAACACGCCGTGTGTCTCGCGCGGCGCCATGATCTTCACCTGCCGCTTGGTGCCGCTCTTCGGCGAGGAATGCTCCGCCTGCGGCCGGAGGCCCACGAGCGGTGAGTGTGAGGTCCAACAGCAGCCGCCGCCGCGGCCGCTGTTGTCGGGTCGGGAGGAGGGACGCACCCACGCGGAGGGTCTGACCGGCGCTTGCTGCGGTGGCGGCGGCGGCTGGATCTTGAGCACTCGCTCTTTGGTCAGCCGCTGCGGGGAGTAGAGGAGGGCCGGCGTGTGAGCCACCACGTGCGACGCACAGAGGTGCGGGAGAGAGAGCGAGAGCGAGAGAGTGGGGGAGGAGTTCCTACCTGCAGGGTGCGCCGTCGCTTTTTGATGGCGCGGTGCTGGGTGGCGAGCAGCTTGAGCTCGGTCTCCAGCCGCTGCCGCTCCTGCACCAGCTTGGGCAGGAACTCGCTGTACCTGGAGTCGTCGAGAACGAGAGCGAGAGCACGTGAGACGAAAAGATGAAAGATGAAAGAAGAGAAAGAGAGAGGGGAAGAGAAACGTAGAAGGAAAGAGATGAATGGGACGTAGTACTTGAGAACTTCGTTGTCGCGGCTGGTGGCGGTGGCTGATGTGGAGGCTTGGCCTTTCGATTTTGAAGAGGATGTGGAGATGGGGTTGCCGCGGTCGCGGCGAGCGCTGGTGGGAGGGGTGGGCGTAGGGCTGATGTGAAGGCCGGCAGGCGAGCGCGTAGTCAGGACTTCATTGGACGAATGAGACAGCTTGGTCTTCTCCAGGAAATGGTCGTAATCTGGATCACCAACTGAATGCAGCGACGAGGTGCCCGACGCGCCAGTCGAATGGGGGGCAGAAGATGGCTTGAATGCCATTTTGCTAGGATCAATGTCGGAGATGTCGCAGCAGCGCGTCGAGTAGCAGCGAAAATCGCGATCACCAATGCGCCCTTTGTGCCCTCCTCCTCGGCGTGTACATCAATCACCTCCTACTGCTGCGACCCGGCCTTGGTTCACAATTACGATCGATTAAAGTCCCCAGTTGTTGTGGTATTTGTTGGCGCGACCCTCAGGAGATGGAAATTTCTGCTTTGGCCAACCACGTGCCGAAGAATTTGAATCGGTAAATTAAAGAATGCGATGAATATGGCGGAGTTCAAGAGGTGGGGGCCTGTGTAGCGGGAGATGGGGGCGAAGATGAACCGTTGCAAACCACCCGCAGTGGTTTGGGCCTGGGTGGTGATTGATGATGTAATGTGTGGGCTGAGTTGAGCTGAAAGGGTAGCGAGAGCTGAAGAGGTTATTTTACAAAAAGGGTTTATTGTTGGCGGGGAGAGAAGAGGAGAGATTTCCGCACACTCGAGCGACAAAAGAAAATCGGGGCTCCATCCAGAGAGGTGTGGAGCGAGAGTGCTGCGAAGGTGGGAGCGTGTGGTCGGAAGCCTCGAGGTCTGGTCTCCAATCGACGGGAAGATCTTCGTCGGAGCGCCGCGTAATGTTACTTAGCTTAATAAACTGAGGAGGAGGAGGAAGAAGGTAGAAGGGTGATGTCACGACGTGTTTCTTCTCTCTGGAGTCGATTCGCGTCGTTCATCGGGGGGGAGGTGGTTGAAAGAGGAAGTAGCATTTAGTGCGAGCTCTGGCCCATGTAGTTGGCACCACCAGCCTTGACGACAGTCTGGATGAGCTTCTGCTGGTCGATGTCGTCGTGCTCGGAGAACTGGGTCTCGACGGCGAAATCCCTGAACACCTGCTTCATGTTGGCCTTGTGGACGGAGACCTTGGCCTTCCTGAGGATACCGGCCTTGGGGCCAGTCCAGGCGATGAAGACGAACTTGGCGCGCTTCGACTCCTCGTCACCGGTGGTCACGCGGAGGTAGGCGAACTGGCAAGCATCCTCGTGGAAGTGGCCGGCGAGCTCATCAAGGCTGCCGGTACCGGTGGCCTCGAGGACGATCTTGTCCTTGGCGTCCTTGTCGTAACCGGCGACGGCCCTGTAGAGAAGAGTGTTACATTAGCATTGTAGAGGAAGGGCTCTTCATCATTTTTGTGCTTTTCTAATGAGGGAAGATTTCGACGCTACGCAGCCACTTTCAGTGAGGGGACACTGAAAGCGAGGCCGGCGAGGCGGTTGTCGAGAAGAACAACTCATTCTAATCGAGTCTACACTCAAGAAGACGATAAACAAGTAGAAGAGGAGAGTCGAGTAATCTCGCTTGAATAACGTACCAGGTGGTGGGGTCGCTGTCCGAACGGACGGCGGCGTAGGCGTCAGCAAGGCGGGAGTCGGAAACGTCAGCCATTGAAGATGAAGTGGTGTGGAGGGGTGTGTGTGGACTGGGGTGAAGCTGGGCGAGAAAAGACCAACGGCGGTTTTATTGACGCGGCGGACCCTCCTCTGGTCCCCTCGTCGTACGGCCGTGGGGCAACGGCCAATCCCTTCGCGCGACCACGCCATTGGCCGTCTGATTCATCAAGCCGCCGAGCGACCACTCAAAGCAGCGTACAAACTGGGAAATATCCGCGCTCGTCTCCGTGGCAGCGAACAAATTGAAATTTCGTGTAAGAAACGAAATTTCATTTTTCCACTCGGTCGCCTTGGTGCGTTACCGGGACCCCGATCGTCGACTGAGAGCGGAGGCGCACCAAATTTTTTGGCGTGCTGTGCGGGCGGCTGTTGGTGCCTTACGTTCAACTCTCGCTTGGTTTTTATGTTTGTTGACAGTCGGTGGTGTCAGGCTGAGAGCATGCGCTCGACGCTGTGGATGACTTCGTCGATGTAGGGTCGCTCGTCCATGTTCTTGTGCATGAGGCGTCGCACGAGCGACTGCAATTCTTCCGAGTGGTGCCTGCACACCAGGATATGGACCGGGTGGGTGCAACGAACGCTACACGTGTGTGTCGTGTCGTGTGTGTGTCATGTGTCGTGTGTGTCGTGTGTGTCGTGTGTGTCGTGTGTCGTGTGCCGCGAGTGTTGCAGAGCACACAAGTACCCGTCACGAGGAAAATCGATGCGGCCAGACATGGCGGACAGCTTGATCGACGCCCCCTGGTGCGTGTAGGCCTCTTCGAACGGGTTCTTGCCGTACGCCATCTCGTACAGCGTGCACCCCAGCGACTGATGGCAAGCACGCGACGTACAGCGTGAGTGTACACTTAGCAGTTTTTTGCGTTCAAGCAAACAGGAGGAAGAGAAGAAAGAGGCGATGTTTTTACCCAGATGTCCGTTCTCTCGTCGATGTCCGCGTTGAAGGGCGGGTCGTACAGTTCGGGCGGCCGATACATTGGGCTACACGACTTATCGGCCTGTGTTGCAAGACATTAGTTTGGTTGGCACTCCCTTTGGTGAAGTGTCGCGCGGTGATGTGACATGCAGGTGCACACGCACCTCTTCTTCCAGCTTAACCGCGTCCGCGTGCGACCTGATGGCGCGCCGTGCCTTGGCGACCGAACCAAAGTCCATCAAAATGGCCTGCCTGCCATCGTCGGAGAGCAACACGTTCAAACACTGCGCCATCACGCAGGTCCCGCCGGCGTTAGCTCGGCGCGTCAAATGCAACGCGCGACGGTTGAAGGCGCAGTGAGTGCGAGACTACGGCCGGCGCCTTACCTTGAGGTCGCGGTGCACGAGCGGCGGGCTGTGCGAGTGGAGAACGGCCAAACCCTTGCACAGGCCCAGGAACAGCTCCAGCACTTGTCGCTCGCTCCATCGCTGATTGCGCGCCTCCATTTCCTCCAGCACCGCTCGCAGTGTGCCGCGCTGACCACAATTCGTGAGTCAGCCACGCACACGCACACGCACACGCACCACCGCACACGACCACCGCACACGCTCCGCCGCACACGCTCCGCCGCACACGCACACGCACACGGCACCAAAACAAAAAGAGCCAAAAGTGAGGGACTCTACCCGGTAGAGTGGGAAGAGGAAGAGGATCTGATCGCTCGCGGCGGCGGTGGTCGAGGTGCTCTGGGCGTGGTCCACCAGCGACACGACGTTGGGGTGCGCGCACGACGTGAGCACCTCGATCTCCAGCTTGGCCCTCTGGTCGACGACCACAACGGCCACAACGAGAAAGCCGCACTTCAGTTCCAGCCGGCTCAACAGCCAACTGACCACCGACCAACGGGCAAGGTGCCATGAACGGGGCATGCACGACGCACCTCGAGTAGAGCTGGCGACTGGCAGAGCATGGTCTTGAGGGCGTATCGATCGCCAGTATCCGACTCCATCACCTTGCGGTAGAATAAAGAGATAAATGATTATTAATCATCTCTTTATTGTATATAAAAATAGAATCGACGGTACAGTCGGACTTGTTCTCGATTAGGTTTTTTTAATATAATAAATAAAAATACAGAAAAAAGATGCAATAATCCAATCAATTTAAAAAGGGGAGGTAGGTACCTCATAGACTTGCGAGTAGGCTCCCTCGCCGATCTGGCGTATGGGTCGCACAATGTGCCGATTGACCGCGATCTCAGGCTGGCAGCAGGAAAAGGTTCCTCCCATCCTCGCCTTCCTTTCGCCAACGAATTCGAATTCGATTATCAAAATAAAAAGAAACACAACACTAAAATAAAAAGAAAAATTGGCCGTCAGCACAAACAGTTCCTGTGCGTTTCTGCCGAAGGACCGACACAATCGATTGGAATGGGCAATCCAGACGGCGAACGGTTGCCACCAAGCCACAGCAGCACATCGACTGCCACGTCTTCATCGTCATCTTCATCTTTGAGCACGACCACCCAGAGGAGGCCATTTCAAATGCGAAGGGATGATGACCTACCGCGAGTGCCCGGGGCGGCTGGAACAGGTCGCGCGACGAAGAAGGACGACTTCTTCTTCACCATGTTGGTGATGGCCGTCTTCCTGCCAGCCATCCTTATCGCATTTGCCACGCTGGGCACGGCCATCTTCACCGTGAACAACATCTTCATGATTATCGTCCTGCTCGGCATGTTCCTCGTCTACAACTACCACAAGGAGTACTACAGCCGATGAAAGCTGGCCCTCATCCCAAAAATGTAATCTTAATCGCCCCTTCATCTTCAATTTATTTTTATTATTTGTTTTATTATTAGTTTTATTTCCATTGTTGGGCAGTAAGCCTTCGGTCAGTACTGACCGCACTGGGTGATGGCGATGGGGAGCTTGGGCTTGTTGTTGGAGCCGATGGTCGAGACGTTCTCGATCATGCGCACGACGCGGAGGCCGTCCTCGATCACCTTGCCGAACACCACGTGCTTGTTGTCGAGCCAGTCGCACGCGTCGCACGTGATGAAGAACTGGCAGCCGTTCGTGTTAGGACCCGAGTTGGCCTGCAGGCAAGTTCACACAGTCACCGATGAGTGCGTGCGTGGTATGTGTGTGTGTCGTGTGTGTGTGTCGTGTGTGTGTGTCGTGTTCCCTGCGTGTTTCTGCGTGCGTGCGTACCATGGAGAGGAGGCCGGGCTCGGTGTGCTTGACCTCGAAGTTCTCATCGGCGAACTTGTCGCCGTAGATGCTGGCGCTGCCGGTGCCGTCACCGTTGAGGAAGTCGCCGCCCTGGATCATGAAGCCCTTGATCACCCGGTGGAAGTTCGAACCCTTGTAGCCAATCGGCTTGCCGTGCTTCAAGTACTCGCCTGTGCAGAACTGTCTGCGCAATCCCATTACTTAATTGATGATTGATAATTGATTGTAATGAATTGATCCATAAACAACCACGCAAGCAGACGAGGTGCAAAGTCGAGTGCGATTAAATCATGAAATAAATGTGTGAGGGGGGGGGGCAAGCGAACCGGAAGTTCTCTGCGGTCTGTGGCACGATGTCAGCGTAGAGCTCCATCTTTATGCGTCCCACATGGTGTCCGCCAATGGAAACATCAAAGAACACGATGGGCCTCTCCGTTGCCATTGTGCGCACAAAGAAATCTGAAAGACAAAAAGACAGAATAATTCTTGCTGACGTCATCACAGAAACAAACACAGGAGGAAAAAACGGGCTGCTGACGTCAGCAAAAACCGGGTGTCGATATTCCTCCTCTTCTTCGTGTCGCACACCCGCTCGTTTGTTCCTGGCCGGTCTTTAATAACATTAGACAATGGCGTCGCGGTGGCTTCCCGTCGTCATCTTCCTCTTTGCCGCACTTCCGTTGGTACTTGCCTCTGCCCCATTCCCTATGCCCCTCTTTCCTCTTTCCTTCTTTCTCCAGACGAACCTAACGCCCTCCCCCTCTTACTCCCGGCGCCCCTTGCTTTTCGCTTTCTTCGCTTTCGTTCTTTCTCGGGGCGCTAAAGGCGGCGAGAGCGGGAGTGACCGGCTGGACCGCTTATGCCGGTGTTGGCACCTTCCAGCCGGGCTCGAAGTACTACGTCAACCTCCAGGGCAACGGAAGCGACGTCACCGTCTTCTGGTCGGGCAACGCCACCGCCGGCGGCTTCCCCGAGGTCACCACAACCGTGCGCGCCTGTCTCGAGAGCAACAACACGTGCGTCGAACGCACCCGCACCTCGGGCGGCGACGCGCCGTGGACGTGGACCCTCGCCGGCCTGATCCCGGTTGTACGTGGCCTGGCGAACGTGACCGTGGTCGTGAGCGCGGCGAACAACCAGACCGTGACCGGCGGCAGCGACTGGACCTCCGTGTGGGCCGACCTGGGTCGCAACGACGTCGTTGCCCATCTGTCCTACGACGCCGCTGGCGGCGGCTTTCATGTGGCCGTCGAGGCCGTGCCGCTCAACTACACCTGCCAGTGGACTGCCGACATTGTCGATCCCAACACCAACAAGCCGTCGACACTCGAGTTGCGTGCACCGCTCACCATCGGCTCGTCGGTTCAGTACCCCGACCCGCAGTGCGTCGTGCCCGAGTTTGACACGCGCCTGCCGGCCGGCACCGCCTTCACCATGGCGCTCCTGTTCGGTGAAGACGACGTGGTGGTCCCGCCGCCGGCCGTGCCGGTCGTGGGCCGCACCGGCGCCCGGGCCACGGGCCTCACCCTGCCGGCCGACCTCTGCTCGGGCCAGAACGTGAGCGTCGAGGGCTTCTTCTACTTCGGCCCGAACGAAACCGCCACCTACGCGTGCAGCTTCGGCCGGTCGACCTCGGCCTGGCGGGCGCCGGTCTCAGCCACGCTCGTCGTGTGCCCGCTGCCGGGCTTCGCGGACACGGTGACCCACGTCACCGTGTGGCAGTCCCGTGGCCCGGCAACATCGACCGTGGGCGGCTTCAACAAGACCTTCACCTTCACCCAGACCTGCGGCGGCGGCGGCGGCGGCGGAGGTGGTGGCAAGGGCGATGATGACGACGCGTGGCCCTACTGGGCGTGGATCCTGGTCGGGCTGGGCGCGGTGGCAGGCCTCACGACAGTGATGGGCCTCGCGGCCCTGGCCTACGTCCAACTGTGCCGCGGCCGGGGCGGCGGCGGCGAGTACGAGCACATGGCCTACACCGACAACCCGATCCACTACGGCGGCAGCGAGCTGCCCATCGACCGTAAGACCTTCAGCGCCTAGCCCCTTGCAGCTGTAGGGCCGATGAAGGACAAAATGTATTTATTTCATTTTCGGCAGAAGGGAGAGACCGCAACAGAGGATGCAGTACGTTTCTACATCTTCGACATCTTTGTGTGTGTTCATGCTCATTTGCTCCTATCATGACGTGGTTTCCACGTTTTAACAACGTTCTCAGGATGAATGAGCTGAATGATGAGAACCTTCTACGCATCTTTGGATTTCTGGAGGTGGGGGACCTGAGCTCAGCGCGACAGACCTGCAAACGGTGGTGCCACGTGACAGACGATTACACACTGTGGCGCAGCCTCTGCTACTCTCTTCGCCTTTCAGATCGGCGGGTGTTCAAATTTTCCCGCCGTTCATCTTCATCTTCCCCTCACTCTCCATCTTCGCCTGAGAGCGAGCCCGCGCCCAGTGCCCTGAGCAAGTTGGCCTTCAAGCTGGAAAAGTTTGATCTCGAGCCGCTTGCTTCCAACTGGAAGGTCCTCTACCGCCGTCTTCGAGTACGCCACCCCATCTTTTCCTGCTACGCGGAAGTTACCTCGGGTTGTTGCCTTGAGCTCAACATGTCGCTGGCACCTTGGCATCTTGCAGACGCAGTCGCACTTTGTGGGCCACGAGTGGCTCCATCGCCCCGATCCTCGCTTGCATTGCTCCATCTCAGGTGCCATCAGCGCAGCGAAGCGGGGGGACTACATCTACATCATGCCCGGTAAGTGTTAAAACACGTCGCCCTCCTTGCTCCTTGATCTCCACCTGCTGATGACACTACTCTTGGCCTTAATCCTGCAGGCACGTACTACTGTGACGGACACGGACTAGAATTGGAAGCGCCCATCAGGCTGGCCGAAGACGTGGTGCTGGTTGGCTTGGGCGATACCGCGGCTGACGTGGTGCTACAAGCCCACAAGAAGAGTGCCACCCGGCCCGCCTTCATCGTTTCTGAAGTGGACGATATCGAAGGCATAAGCGGGTGCTCGCCTTCTCGACTCCATTCATCACAAGTACTTAATTGGTGGCTGATGGCTGGCGGTTGATGGTTCTCAGGTTTGAATGGACATTGTTCGAGGTTTATGGTGGACAAGGCACAGATGAGGTACTCGTTTCTACCCACGATTACATTATTATATGATGGTAAATACCTATGTTTTAAGCTGCGGTTGAGCAGGTTCAAGGAAATGGCGCAGATGATGGTCCGCCACGTCAAGTGATCAAGGACATCACATTTGTGGGATCCAACAATCACGCCATATGCGTTGGTGATGGATCGAACGTAGTACTGGAGAACTGCAGGTGCAGCTTAACTTGTATCAACAAGACTGTGGTGTACATGTCACACTAACACTTCGCTATCTCAGGTTCACCAACAGCTTCGACGCGGCTGATTTCAGCTCAGCGACGGCCGTCAACATCTTCGGTACCGACACCAACACGACGCTCAAGTGCGCACACTCATTCTCCCGCCAACCCGCATCATTCTTGTTTTCTTGACTCAACTCTTTAACATCCTCTTCATCCTCATTATCAGGAACTGCTGCATCTATCAGTCCAAGAAGCACGGGGTGTTCGTTGGTGAAGGGGCAAAGGCCACTCTGATCAACGTGGACATAGACGGCGCGGAGCACAGCGGCGTTCACGTTAGGCACGTCATCAGTCCGCCCCGCCGGCCCCACTTCTGGTGCAGGCCAGCCCTCAATCAATCAATCAATCATTCCGGCGCGGTGCACGCAGGTCAAGGGGCGAGGTGACGGTTGAGGGAGGCAAGATCCACGGCTGCCACCACCACGGCGTGTTCGTCAATTCTAGCGCGAGCGCCACGGTGCGCGGCTGCGAGATCTACAACGTACAGGGGAAAGCAATCGCAGCCTCCCCGCGGGCCAAGAAGATCGCCCTGGACGGTAACAACATCCACGACTGCCTCGAACGCCAAGTGGGCGGCACCACCAGCGCCGAGGACTGTGTAGTCATGTAAAGCCCCCCCCCCAACAGTGTAGCAATGTAAATAGACTCCCTTGTGGTGTGAAAGAACGAAAACGAAAGGCGATAAAGAACGAAGAAAGAAGAACACAACAGGATGGGGGGCAATATATGCACAGAATTAAAGATATGTGATCTGAATATCTTTACATCTGCTTGGCCTAGAGGGTTTGGTAGCTCGAGCTCTTCTTGGTGTAGAGGAAGAAACCGACGCCGGCGGCGACCAGCACCAGGCCCACACCGCCCGCCACGATCACGATGATGGCCCACACCGGGAAGTCGTCGCCGCCACCACCTCCGCCGCCACCTCCGCCGCCGCTCTTGGTGGGCGATGGGATGGGCTGCGGGTCCACCTGGAAGCCGCCGTAGGTGGTGCCATCGAGGGTGAACGTGGCCAGGCAGCACGAGTGCAGCTTGCACCGGGCGAGGCCCATCACGTTGGCCCGGACGCAGGCGGTGGCGTTGAAGAAGAGGAAGCCGTAGTCGGTCGACGACGGCTTGACGCTGTAGGCCACAAAGTCCTCGCCCATCCACGTGCCGGCGCCCAGGTGGCACTCGATAGTGGCGAACGACACTGGCCCGGTCTTCTGGTTGGGCTCGCACACTTCGTACTTTTTGTTGACCAGCGCGCAGCTCTGGCACAGGCTCACGTTGTAGGTGGCCGCCGCAACCGGGGCCGTCGGGCCGAAGAAGAAGTCAGTCGTTGTGGCGGTGGTAGTGGTGGAGGAGGCGGGGAAGACGAAGAGGGCCACAACCACCAGGGCGAGAGTGGCCACCACGACGGAGCGGCTGGTTGTGTGTGGGGTCATGTCCGTCAAGGGTGCACAGAGTGTGGAGAGAAGATCACGAAACAAGTCTGAAAACAAGTTTGTTTCTGGCCTTTTTTTAACTCCCATTCGCCCCGACTTGGTGCCCCGTTGCCCAATGGGGCTCACCTAAGAGCAGGGAACCATGTTTCGAGGATTCCACCCGGAGATGCAGCAAGAACAGTTTCACCCGATTCGTCCAACTTAACATCCTAGGACGTAATTCTGATCAGGATATATATGAACATGTACTCGGTCAGTCCAGATATGCTGCTCACGATCGTAAGACATAAATGAAACATGTCAATTTCCTCTTTTCTTCTGGTGCGGGTGATTGCGGCCACTTTGATAACTGATGGTGGACATTCATGAGCCAGGCCGCAATCTTCTACTTTTTTGGATCATCTTGCTCTGGCAAGGTGCTCCATTCAATCATCATCATCTTCTTCTTCTTTACATCATTTCAGCAGGGCTGGCAGGAAGAGCTTGGGAGTGAGAGTGACCCCCACCTTCTGCTTCATTCCATGCTGGCTTTCCAGCCCTCCTCAAACTGCCCAACAGATTTGCTGCTGTTGCGTCTCCGTGCAGCTACCAGCAGCAGCCAGAGCGTCCAGCTCTCCCAGCGGACCAGGGAGAGCAGGGCCATAGCTAAAGAACTTGTTGGCAGACATCTGGTGGATTGTTACCAGCTCATCAGTCAGTGTGATAAACTTCGTTCTTTTGTTTGGTGACGTGCATCATCATGATGGAGTGGCGAAGGTGGGCGTTGACGCTGCGTTCTGGTCGCGGAAGAGACGCGCGATGACCTCATAGCCGAGGAAGCCCGCTGCGTTGGCCGGGAACGCTCGCGCCACGCAAGGGCCGAATCCTGCCCCGCGCCCCAGACGCAAACAGGGTCAACAATGAAGAATGAAGGGGGGGGGGAAAGAACGAAAACGCCACAAAGTGCGAAAAAAGAACGAAGAACGGCGTATACCGCGCCAGAGCGAAGCCAGTCCTCTCTCCTTGACCATCTGTCGCCAGCAGTCGAAGAAGCCGCCATCCAGCAAGAGCTTGTTCTTTCGGTACTTCTCCGTGTCCGACGCCGATTGAATGTGTGTCTATTGATGTGTGTGTGTGTGTGGTGTGGTGTGTGGTGTGGTTCGTGATTCATAAAACGCACACGACGCAAGCGTGCGTGATTCAGGGGCGGGGTCGTACCTTAACGTAGTCCATGGGGTAGGAGGCGATCCAAGCGCCGATGCCGGACATGCCGCCGGCCAGCATCAGGTGGAGCGGATGCAGGTCGTCCACCGTGCATTCCGGTCCTTGCCTCGAAATGAGGTACCTGGCCCAACCCACCCATTTTTTATGAGCCAAGTGTCGTTGCGTGTTGCGTTGTGCGTGTGCGTGTGTGCGTGTGTGGTCGTGTGCGGTCGTGCGTGTGCGGTGTGGTGCGTGTGCGGCGGTGGTGCGTGCGGGAGGGTACGTACTGCTTAATGTATTCGTACACCACAAACTGTCCCATGTAGCCCGGAACCTCCCTGTAGACCGTTGCTGACATTCCCTTCCACAAACCCGGAAAGCCCTGCACAATCCACATTAGCCACCGCGCACGCACACGCACCACCGCACACGCACCACCGCACACGCACCACCGCGCACGTATGACGAACCTTTTCCTTGAAAATCTTTACAATGCAGTCGATGGGGCCGTTGTAGAAAATCCTTCGCTCGAAGAGAGAACTGCGAAGACCCGACCGCAGCCGCTCCTTGAGGTTGAGATTGAACTGCGCCGCGGTGTTCTCCGTCTGGTTCTGCAGCCGGATCTTGATCAACTCCACCGGCGTCACCACGCCCGCATTCACAAACCCGGCCCACGCGCCTGTTGAACAAATAAAATTAATAAAATCAGTGATATATATATATATATAATAAAAAAGAAAAGATAAAAAGAATCATAGTAATAATGGATAATCAAATTAATTAATAATTAAATAAGTGTAAATAATTGCGTACCGGCCAAGGCGAGCTGGGGAATGCTGAGGTCGGCGTCGGGCGCGTTGGGGTCCTGCAGGTAGGCCTTGGCCTGGCCGTAGGCGGCGAACACGATGGCGTTGATCAGCGGAATGGTCGCCATCGGCGATCCCATGCCCTTGTACAAACCGCGTATCTGGCCGCGCCAGCAATCATCCAAAAAAAGGTTAACACGACACGCGCGACGCACGACACGCACAACAGAGATCCGGGTGGTGGTGGGCGTACCCCTTCCTCGCGCACGGTCTTGAGCGTGGCTTGGATCGCGGAGCCGTAGGCCTGCTGTTGGGTCTGCAATCGCACCTTGATGGTGTCGAAGGGATGCCCCACCTGTCACCGCAATAAAATAAATAAATACATAAAATATGTCAATCATAAATAGTACAAAATGGGGATTTAATAATTAATAATTAATAAATAAATAAAGCGAGGAGGGTACCAGCGTGATGGCAACGCCGGCCAATGTACCGGCGATGAAGTCCTGGAGCGGTGTGAGGTCTGCCGCAGTGGCCACGACCATCGATTGACGATCGATCAGCGGAGTGCCCAGCGCGTGACAGGGTAAAAACCAAACAAACGCACAACGGACGAAGGGAGAAAAGAAGTACTCTGGTTCTGTGCGAGGATGGTGTCCTTTGATGCGCCCGAGTACCAGTAGCGCACGGCGTGCTCCAGCAGGTCAATGTTGCGGTGATGCTACGTGTAGAATAATAAGTAATAAGTAATAAATAATGTCAGTCGGCGAGTTGGCCGCAAGCTGTGTGAGATGGTGCTGCTCGTGCGCGCGCACAGTGGGTGCAGGCTGTGTACCTGGTGGTGCACGTCGAGATAGATCCGGAAGAAGGCGGGAAAGGAGACATAGCCCTCCTCGTCCTCTCCCACCATCTGGATCATCTTTTCCGCCATGCTCTGTATGGGTGTGTTGTTGACATATAGATATATGCATACATATAACGGAGTTAACGATAATACGATATAATCTACTCAGTAGGAGTAGACCAGCTTCTTCGTTCCGAGGAGTTGGGACCCCGGGCTGGCAGTTCACAAGCCAGTCAGGTCAAGAGAGGGCAGGCGTACTCGGTCGGTGGGCAGGCCGTAGTTCTCGAGCGTGCGGATGAGGTCGTGCTCCTGGATGCAGGCCGTCTTGTTCTGGTCCAAATGCTTGAATATCTTCAGCCCCACAAAGATGCTGTGCGTGTGTGTGCGCGCGCGCGTGTGTGTGTGTGGCAAGCACACGCACGTAGCGCAAGGAATTCATCATTATCGCTGGGTGAGAGACCTCGCAAGGCAGAACAGATACGCGCGGGCGAGTAGGCACCTGTAAAACTCCTCAAAGTCGAGCTCGCCCGTCGCCGACACGTTGGCCGCCTTGAGGATAGCCGCCGCTTGCTCCTGCGCCACACAAAATGTTATTAATAATTTGTTTTTATTGATTTGCATATTATTGAACAAATAAATGTGTAAAGATTATGTAATACTAAATTCATCTATCTAATAAATAAATAATATCAGTACGTACAGTGTCCATCTCGAGGCCGGCCTCTTGGAGTACCGACTGGAGCTGGCCGGCGTCGATCCGGTTGTTGCCCTGGTGATGTCGCAGGAAGGCCTCGAAGGCCTGCTGCAGCATGCCCCCACGGCCCTTTCCCACCGGTGGCGCAGCCTTTCCCCCTGACGCTACTTGCATCTGCAGCCGTCGCTCATCTTCGGCCAATTGTTCGCTCACGATGTCCTGCACCGCCGCAGCTTCGTTGCTCTTCTCCGTCGCCTCACCTCCGCCGCCCTCACCTTCATCACCAACTTCTTCAGCCCGTTGCTGCCCCTCCTCGTCGCCAGCTACCGCAAATTCGGGCGTTGGCACGTTGTCGAGATGGCTCATGTTATCTCTACTCAAATCCCTCAGATCGACTGCTGGCGCTGGCGCTGTGTTCATCTCACACACATTCGACAAAGCGGCCTCGATGCACTTGTACCACTTGCCAACTAATGCAAGAGCGATAAATAGATAGATAAATAAAACGATAGTCCCAAATGATGAATATAATTTTCGCCTGGGAATTACCCATTTGGCGGAAGCTTCCGTGTCGTACATTTACATTTGAAATTTACGCAACATTTTCGGATATTTGCGAAATTCGAAAAAAAGAGGGAAAAAACCGGCCAGGCGACTCTGGGCTGATCCTGGCTATCGGATGCGAATGAACACCACGCCGCCTTGCTCGCGGAACTGGTAGTTGTTCGCCCTGAGATGGCGCTCCACCGCAGGCTTAATCTGCGCTCTCCCTCCCTGCGGTGTGTGTCGCGTATGTGTGTGTGTGTGTGCGTGCGTGTGTGCGTGTGTCGCGTGTGTCGCGTGTCGTGAGCGTGGTGTGCGATTGAGAAATGAATGTGTGGGCAGCCACAGCGGGAGTCCATACCTGGCTGTGCTTGCCGAGGCCCGTGATGACCGACACCCAGGACGCGGCGTTGGGGTTACGCTGCCTCTTCTGTTCGTGCAAGTGCAACAGCCTGACGTGTGTCGTGTCGTGCGTGTCGTGTGCAGCATTGTGAGCTTTTCTCTGGGCACTCAACACGGACGGTAGAGGTGGAGGCGGTGTACCGTTCGAGAACGTTGAGGGCCACGGGAACGGTGAGCTTATGGAGATCGACCGTGTGTAACGCGTTCTGGGCCGTCGACGGACTGATTGCCGGAAACGAGACAGCGTTAGGGCAGAGCTATACGAGCTTAATGGGGGGGGGGAAGGCGTGGTGATTACCTGGGCGAGAAGATCCTTTCGGTGGCTTCCAAGTAGCATTCCTTCATCTTCTCGTCGTGCTCACGGCCCTTCCTGAAAGCGGGTTGATGTACATACACGGTGAGTCGGCGTGGTGTGTGTGTGTGCGTGTGCGTGTGTCATAGATGACGAAGCTCGTACTGTGACAGGTTCTTCGCCGCCTGGCCATCGCCGCGGATATAGGCTCGCGTGGCCTCCATGTAGTATGTATTCCTAATAAATAGTGAAGCATGTGCAACTTTAGTCCCTGGCCTGAGCTCGAGAATGAAAGGAATGTGGAAAAGGAGGAGAAAGAGAGCGCAGCACCTGAGGGAGGCGTGGTCGAGGGCCTGCTGTCGCAGGTCCTGCCCGTCCGACGCGCGAGAGCCGGCCTTGTTGCCCGTGTTGCACCTCTTCCGCGTGACGAGGGTGAACTTTTCCTGCTTGCGGCGCTCCCTGCGGCCCTCGGCGCGCTTCTGACGCTGAGCGGCCGGCCGACCCGGCTCCTTCTGCGCCGCCTGGGCGCCGGCCTGCTTGGCGGTGGCGTTGACATTGTTGTCGACTGCGCTCGACTGCTGCGCGTCGTTGGCCTTGCCCGACTGCCACGTCATGGTGGGGTCGATCTCGGTGAGCGCCCTGATCGTGCGGCCGGCGTTGCACCCGCACTGCTGGAAGACCGCCTGCAGCAGTTCGGCCTCGACGAACCAGAACTGCTGTCTGAGCGACAGCAGCTTCAGCTTGGTGGACAGGTCCACGTGACTCAAATCCGCGGCCGAACGATTCGGTCCAGCGCTCGCCTTGCTTGCAGCCTTGACACGACACGACACGACACACACAACCACACAATAAACACGCAATGCGAACGTCATGGACTTGAGAAGCGAGACAACGATAGCGCAAGAAGGGCGGGCGAGTACCTGGGCTGAGGGAGGCGCGGTGAGGGGCAGGTTAGGGTAGTAGGCCTGCGCTGGCGGCGCCTGGACCTTAGCCGCAACGCCCATCTTGGCGAGCACCTCGTCCTGTCGATTTCCCCACTGTGTGTGGTGTGTGGTGTGTGTGTGGCGTGTGTGTGTTGTGTGTGTGTGTGTGTGTGTGTGTGCGTGTGGCGTGTGTCGTGTGTGTGGTTAATGCCTAAATTTCAATTTGTGAGGCATTGAATGAAAGCGCGACGTACGGTCATCTTCCTGGGTCCGAGGATTTGCTGCCGACCGCGGCCGCCCCGCCGGTTGCCCCGCGCTGCGTCAAAGGCCTGCGCCAGGATCTCCTCCGTGGTGGCCTCGATGTCGTCGGCGTTGGCCTCGAGCGTCACCGCCAGCGCCTGGCGGTCGTACTCGGGGAACATGTCGGCCAGCATGTCGAGGTTGGACGTGAACGCGCTGCCCGGCTTTTCGCTGACGGCCCGCGCGGCGTTGTTGCCATCGTCGTCGTGGTGCTCGGCTTGCTCCTTCGCATTTTCGTCATCTTCATCGTCGCCGAGGTATCTGCGTCGCAGCACTTCCAGGCTATCCACGAGTTCGTCGCAGGCGCCGTTGTCTTCGACGTCGTAATTGTCGTCGTCGTCGTCCTGGACAAACGTGATCTCACCATCGGCGGCGGCGCTGCTGCAGCACGCCTTCTCGCCCTCGCGCACCATCCGCGCGATGATTTCGTCGATACGCTCCCAGTCCTCGCCGGCCGTCGTGTCGCACTCATCGGCCGCGGCTTCCGATGGCTGCTCGTCCTGCTCCTCGTCCGACACCGATGTCGATGACGACGCCGAGCTCGACGACTTGGGTGACTGCTCACCGCTGCTCTCAGCGCTGACATCAGCGCTGACAGCCGACGGAGCGATCTCGCTGTTGACGTTGGTGAGGGTGAGCAGGGCCTCGATGGTGCGCTCCAGGTCCCACTCGTGCTCCTCGTAGAGGAGGCCCAGCAGTCCGTCCTCGAACGACGGCACGATGCTCTTCATGAACGCCAGGCCGGCGGCCCTGTCCGCCTCCGACGGTTGCGTAGCAGCGGCCACAGCAGCGCCGGCCGCGGGCTTGTGCACTCTGCCGGAGCTGTCACTGCCCTTCCGCGTGGGCTGCTTCTGGGCCAGCGGCGGGGCCATCGTCGTCGTCGCCTTCTTCTGCTGCTGCTCGTTTGTCGTCGCGGGCGGCTGCTGGGCAGTAGCGGCCGCAGCAGTCTTCTTGTTGCGCCTCTTGCGCGCCTTCTTGCTCAGCCCGACCACTTCCCACTGCTCCTCGCCCGTGTGGTCCATCACTCCACCGCCTCCATCCCCCGCCGCGCCATCGACATCGCCGCCACCGCCGACTCGCCCGCCTCCCCCCGCCCCCGCCCCCGCAGCGTCGCCGTGGTGTGGCGGCTGCTTGACCTTCCACTTGCCGCTTTCGCTGCGTCCGGCCACGGCGCCGCCCTTCTTGGTGCGCGCCGCGGCGGCCGAGTCGCACTTGGCAGCCGCGTTGGCGTAGCTGTTGGCGGCGCCGCTGCCGCTGCTGCCGTCGCCGGTAAGCGCGCGCGCCATGGCCTCATCGGCCTTCTCCTGGGCCTCCCTCCTGGCCCGCTCCTCCTGCTCCATCTCGAATGCAAGCCGCTGGGCCAGCTCCTCGTCGCTCTGAGCAGGTGCCTGATGAAGGTGGGCGTTGATCAAGTCTTGCTGCTGCTGTTGCACAGAGGTCTGGTGGTCCTCCTGAATGCGGATCATGTCGGTGAGCTGTGCGATCGTGGCCTCTACCTGAAACGCGTGCTCGTGCAGCAGCAGCTCCACCACACTCTTGTCCAGGCTTGGAAACATCTCCTGCACATAAATGCAAACGTCAAAGAGGAGCATATGTACCACTACGTTTTCATTTTAAAATTGGGAATCTTGGACAAATGAAAATCGCAGCATTTACAGATTTGATTTGATTAAAATTGCGTACCGAGATTGAAGAGATGAGCTGCCCTACGTTTACGACGTGGCCACGATCGCCTCCACCATTCTTCTTGCCCTGCCTCTTCTTAATCTGACTATTATTGTTGGCTCTGTTCTGCTGCTCTGCCTTTTGCCTCGCCTGCGCGAGTATGGCCTGGTGCAGATTAAGTTGCACCGTCTTCGACGCCGGCTTCTGATCCATCGTCGTTGCTGTATTCGAGCTTCTCTTTGCTTCGATTTATTGTGATGCAGACGGGATGGTAACCGTTGCTTCGGCAGAATTCCAAACGTGTCTGAAGTGTTTTTGAACTCGTTTGCGAAATATTTCGGTTTGTCCAAATGTTGTTTTTCTCTTTTTTTGTCATCAGAGCGGCAGAAGGAAGGAGGGGCTGTCCTTGAGTGCCTGGCGGGCTCGAGGCAGGGAGGCCTTATGCACGAAAGCATAGTCCGTAAGGAATGTCGACAGGTAGAAGAGCGGCAGCCCGGCCTGGCCGAGCGGCACCGCCAGCGAAGCCACTGCACACAACACACCACACACAACACACGTAGTTTACGGCCGTGTCATCATGCCTGAGCAGGGCTTTGTGTGTGGTCGTACCGATGCCCGCCTCTTCGAAGCCCAGCGGGCCTTCGTCGACCTTGATGATGGCCCACGGCTCCCGCGATCCCTCTACGGGGAAGCTGTATTGGCGCAGCGAGGCCGAGTCGCCTATCAGGGACACCTCGCCTTCCAGCTCCGTGTAGGACACGAAGCAATCTTCCCGTCTGTCCCACGGGAGGTAAGTCGCCTGATAGGCAGCACACACGACACACGACACACACGCACACACACACGACATACAAACACAGCAGTACCCGGACGAACAGAAGATCAGCCGAAGGAGGGCCGTGTGGACCGCGGCGACATCCTCTTCCGGTACGCCGCACAGCGACAGCTCCAGCCGAGGGAAGGCCAGCTTCTTCCTGCAAAATTGACGGTTAATGGTTCGATCTCGACGGTCGGCTTCCACGAACGAGAGAGGCAGTGGTACTTGCGGCTCAGGGCGGGTGGCGAGAGCGAGGTGGGCACGTCGGCAGCGGCCGCGGCGGCGTCACGACGAGTCGAGGCGCTGATGCCTTCCGTCACGATTTCAAACTTGCCCCGCAGAGCCGCGAGCGCTGCCGGCAACTTGTCCTCTGGCACCTGTGCCCGTGTGCGTGTGTGCGTGTGTGTGTGCGTGTGCGGTCAAAATAGATATGTATAAGCTTATGCTGTCACACATCAAGGTGCGGAGCAGATACCAGCAATATGTCCTCCTCGGCTGTGCCGAGGTAGAAGATGGTGATGCCCGCAGCGGCCAACGGACCCGACAGCCCGCCAGCCCCGGTCCCTGGAGTGGTAAGTGGTAGTAGTTGGAAAAAGTAGTGGTAAGTTGGGACCACTCGGACAAGCCGAGATCGGGGGAAACGACGACTGTTAGAGGCGCGGGCGTCGTACAGGGCTGGCCGGACCCGCCGCTGGCGACCTGCATGGCGCGCCATCGCTGCCACTGGCTTCGGTCGGCGCTCGCGTCGGCGGTGCCCGTCGACGAGGGTCCGTTCACGACCACCTCCACCACTCCGGGCGGCAGCACGTCGAACGCCTCCTCGTCGGCGATCAGCGTCCTGTGCAGATATTGTGTACATCAACGAACATGTTCACCATCATCGTCATCACCACCACCACCACCGCCAGCATGATGTGGGGAAGAGGAGACTTGTACAAGTCGTCGCGGGTGCGGGTCAGGGAGAGAAGGCGGTGGGACCTGCAGCGGGAGTTGAGTAGAATAAGAACAATCAGAATAAGATTCAGAGATAAGGAAGCATAACACCAAAGAGTGGTCAAATGATTTGTTGTGGCACCAATTGTTTGTTCTTGATTCTTCCAATTCGGAGGGTGGGTAGGAAAAAAAGATGTAGTACCCGGGCACAAGGAGAAGGCGGAGGAGAGGGGCGGCAGTCTGGTGCAGTGTTTCCTCGTGTAGCCGCGAGATGAGCAGCCTGCCCGGCAGCACAGTGAGTGTGGCTTCGCACTCTTCTGTCCACGACATCTTGCGTTCGGACTGGTTCTTCAAGCCAGTCCTCGAATTCTCGAGGCGAGAAAAAAGAAAATAGCGAATAAATGAATGGATAAATAAATATAAAAAAACAACTTTAGGTCCGCAGCGCCTGCTCCGTCGCCACTCTGGCGTCGACCCAAACCTTCCGCGCTGGGGGTTGGACAAAAAGACGTGACTGATGCAGTGGTTTATGCCCAGAGAGGGAATGGTATACGTTTGCATGCTTCCAAGGCAAACGGATCTACGAAAGAGAGATTGTAGGCCATTGTCGGGCCACAGTGGGGCGAGAGCGAAACAACAGTTGTTATTAAAGGTGTTGGGGCAAGGGGGAATGCAGCCACTATGGCATTGATGGCGCGCAAGTGCTCTGTGGCAGAGGCGGAACCCAGGCACCCCCATAAGGCTGTGGAGCCGGACCCGCGTGTGCTGGAAGACTGTCCGACTGAGCAGCCCAGTGGACCGCTGCACCTGTTCGAGGTGGCAGTGCAGGCGGGTACGCAGGAGCCATGACAGTGTGAGAGGAGACTGGCCGTCGGGCGGGAAGTGCTGGAGCAGGAGCAGGAGTAGAGACCTGCGGGGGCAGAGCCGGGGCAGCTACAACGTAGGGGTAGCCACTCGATGGCAGTTGTGGCGCGGGCTGGAAGGTCAAAGGCTGCTGGTAGCTGTGGGGTTGTGGTTAGATTCTACGTTTCTATGGTGAAAGAAACAAAGTGGAGGGTTCTAGCCCCGTACTTGGGTACGTAGTTGGATGAGACCTGGTACGTGCTGCTGTAGGCTTTCTTCTTCTTTCCAAACATGCCGATGAAGGTTCTGATGTGTGCTGCTGGCCTTTGTGTTCTTGGTGCTGGGTGTTTTTATCTGGTTGTAGGTTTTGTTTTCTAAGTATCTTTCTGCACACCGCCAATCAGGGAGAAATTGTGAGAGCCAGTTACAGGGCGGCAGCTTGGCAAGTACAGTTTTAACCAGCTCCGTGGATATGGCACGAAGCCAAGGATCATCTGCACCTGAACCGACACAGTGAGCAACATCATCAAACTCCGTCAACTGAAGCACGTCGGCTGCCTCTGTGGTCATGGAGGGAAGTCCGCGAACTACAACGCGCACCTCCAGAGCGATCGAGGTGTGCCTTGGATGTTACGACTGCGCCAGCGGCCCTTTCTGGTTGGCGCTCCTATCCATGTAACCTGCCCGGTTCCCCAACTGTTCCACAAAATTGAGTATAAAGAGGATTAAAGTAAAAAGAAAAATAAAAACCTAATATTGTTCCTCCGCGAATTCCAAAATCCACTCCACAGCCTTGAAGATGGACAAGAGGCCGCAGGGGACGTCCGTGCCTCGACCGAAACCTTCCGCGATAGGACAAAACAGGAGCGGTCAAAATCGAGACGAAGATGAAGATCTGCATTTGCTGGACGAAATTTTGCAGGGGCCAGATGACGATGACGCCATGCCCATCTACAAAAAGATCGCCTACGGCTTTGGCGAAGTCGGTACTCCTCACCTTCTTCCTCATTCAATCCACTCTTACTTTTGATGTAAGTGTATTACTTAAACGTTTATTTATTTATTTTTTGATTTATTTACCATCTTATTGCAGGGCCACACGTGGGGGCGGTGATCTATTCCTTCTTTCTTCAGACGTTCCTCCTCGAGGTGGCCGAGGTGGGCGCCTACTGGGTACCTTCTGCTCCATCTCCTCTCCTTCGCCACCCGCTGACATTGAATATTTATTATTTTTATTCTTGGGGCACACGCAATCGCTCAGGCCGGCGTGCTTCTGTTGGTGGGACAAGTACGTCACCCACTGCCCACGCCACCACTTCACCACAAGCACGTGTGAGCTCACTCGTTGTGTCGCGCGTGCGGTGTCGTTGTGTGGTGTTGTGTGTGTGTCCGAGCCTAGTTTTGGGACGCGATCACCGATCCGATCATCGGTCACCTGAGCGACCGGACGACGTCCGCCATGGGCCGACGACGCCCGTGGCTGCTGTGGGGTACGACCACTTTCACACTTTCGTCAGATCAGTACTGGCCTGCCGCGCAAGACGCAAAACTGTCAGCTGACACGCGCACGCACGCACACGCATGTGCAACACCGGCCAGGCGCGGTGCCGTACGCTGTGGCGTACTTTTTCCTGTGGCAGGTGCCGCCGTGGGCCGAGGACGGCGACGCGATCGCCATCCTGTGGTATCTCCTGGTCATCTTCGCCTACAACACCACCTTCACCTGCGTCGCCGTTCCCTACAGGTGCCGCCCCCCACCACACTCTCTTCATTTTTTCTTTGCGCGTTCACTCATAGGCGGACGTATTGGTGCGTGTCGTTGGTCGTGTCGTGTCGTGTCGTACCGTGTCTGACAGAGCGCTCACGCCCGATCTGACACGCGACTATGACGAGCGTACTTCGCTCACCATGTACAGACAGTTCCAGGCCCTCGTTTCAGGCGTCATATTCACTTTCGCGCACTCCATAATCATCGATGTACGCCCGCCTCGGCCTCGGCTTCAGCCTTGAAAACTCTTGCATTGGTAGTGGCGGTCGGAGGACTGACCGACCACCTCGCAACCACCTCTCTACCACGGTTCGCCGCCCCACAGAGCACGGACACCTACAAAGACGGCTACATGCTCAGCGCCCTCATATTCGGCATTTTCATCATTTTCCCGCCGTGGGTCACCTTCTTCACCAACAAGGAGCGATACCAGCGCTCCCAGGTTGACCCTTCTTCTGAACCACCACTGGGCCTCGTGAACCGGCCAGTTGGTTCTGACACACACCACACCAACACCGCACACACACAACCACACACACACACAACCGCACACACACAACCGCACACGGGTGTCGTTGATGGTGCGCAGGAAGAGCACGTCAGCCGAGGGGTCGTCCAGCATTTTCGCGAGATTCTGGCCATGTTCAGGAACCGCGCGTTCCAGATCGTCACGCTGCTCTTCCTGTGCTGCTGGCTGGCGATCAACTTCATCACCAACAACCTCTTCCTCTACGTCAAGTATGCGCTCAACCTCGAGAGCCACTTCTCGTGGCTGCTGCTCACCATTCAGGGCACCGCCGCCGTCTTCCTCTTCTTCTGGAGCTGGGTCAGGTCAGTAGTCAGTAGTCAGTAGTCGCGCGCACGCACCCCAACACCTCCCCCCCACCAACCACCCGCGCAGCCGTGTGTCATGACGACTGACGACACGCGCGTGTGTGCCATTGCGTGTGTTGCACTGCCTTGATCTCGGGGGAAACAAACAGCCGAAAGATTGGCAAGGTGAACACGTACTACATCGGCATGACCGTATGGACTGTGGTACAGATCGGCCTGTTCTTCTTCGAGGAGGGCATCCACCCGTCCTCCATGTACATCGCCGGTGCTCTCGCCGGCGTCGGCGTGTCCATCGGTACGCCTACACCTGCGTTGATCGCCTGTCACGTGTCGCGTGTCGTGTCGTGTGCTGCGTGTGTCGCGTCGGGTTGCGGTTGGTGTTGGTGTTGTCCCTCATAGAACTATGATGCTGTGGGAGACAGGCTTCCTCATTCCCTGGTCGATGTTGCCCGATGTGATCGAGTTGGACGAGCTCGAGACGGGTATAACCACCACCACCACCACCTCTCGGATTCACCGTGAAATGCCACACTAAGCATAGTATGATCGCCCGCCGCCCGCTTACTGTATCCAATCAGGCAAGAGGCGGGAGGGCATGTTCTACTCGGTCTACGGCCTCTTCCAAAAGGTTGGCTTGGCCGTTGGCGTAGCGGCCTCCAGGTACCCACCCGATCATCAAGGCCGAGGCGCCCGCACGAGCACTCCAAATGCACTGAAACGTTTTTTTAAAATTTACTTTATTTTATTTGTAAACCTCAGCTGGGCGCTCGGACTGGCGGGCTACGTCGCTCCCACGTCGGACGAGGAAGACGTACGGACGCCTCAGCCCGAGGCCGTCATCTACACGCTCCGGTACTCGCCGCATCGCTCCATTTCTTTCATCTCTTTGCAAAACGCTCACGCACGACCGCACACGCACACGCACAGAGTAATGATTGGGCCGTTCCCCGCGCTTTTGCTGATACTGAGCTTCGTGGCGGTCTACTTCTACCCCATCACCCGCGAGCGACACGAGGAGATTCGACTCGAGATCGCCGCGCGCAACAAGGCCATCCGCGAGTCCACACGCAACAACGTCGATGAAACCGCCACCGCTGAGACGCCATGATGGTGATAAACCCCTCCTCCTCCTCTTCTTCTTCTTCTTCTTCATTGCTGTAGTTGTGTCGGTTACACCACAAAGACATATCATGCCGCGGTGTGCGATGTTTTAAACACCACAAAGTTGGAACTCCGTTAGAGCCGTATTAATTTCAGGTTATGGCATGCTGCCGTGGCATGCGCTGGCGGCTGTTGATCTGGACCTAGGCGCAACCTTCACGGATCTTCTTCAAAGGGCTCTTGCTTCTGGTTCTTCCCTCCTGGGTCTTACAGAAGCTCTGCCCTCAACCACAATAGTTGTTTGTTGAGTGCCGCTCCGATTCCATTTTGGCATTTCGACATCTTGACACTTCCCAGCTTCTATCGCCAGACGCCGCGTGCACAATCTCTCTTCTCTTGGTAAGAGACTCGTCACCACTCGAAATCAGGTCCTGATCTGCAAACAATGGCCGATCAATCGCCCGAGCCAACGCCCCCGCATCGCGAGGTGGTGGATTTTACGCAATCTGCCCCTGCCGCGATCGTCACCACCGTTGCCGCAGATGAAACGAGACCCAGAGGCAGCACATCTGGTTCGATTCCGACCGTCGTGGTGCAGGATTTCGATGAGGGCGCTGCGCTGAGGAGAGCAAGGAGCAACAGCAGGAAGAAAAAGAAGAAGAAGCAGAAGGCGCACAAGAAATCGACCACGGAGACCGAGACGGGTTCGGAGAGCGACACGGAGGATGAAGCTGAGGAGTCGTCTTCATCTTCGTCGAGTAGCGAGAGCGACGACGAAGAGGAGGAGCAAGAGGAGAAGAAGGCACCGCCCAAGAAGACCAGATTCGACGTGCCCAAGAAGGCCAAGAAGGACAAGAGCGCTCTCGCCCCCAGGTCGAGTGTCGATGTTGCCGCGCTGAGGTACGTTCTGCCTCTGCTTCTTTCAACTCACTTCCTCAATGAAGCAATTTTTCATTGTTGATTCATTTATTCAATCACAAAACCATGATCCATTCATTTGATTAAATGTGAGCTTCTCCTCTCAAAACTATTAAGCAGGCGCAGCGAGGACTGGCGCGGTGCGCCGAGGGCAAGCATCGATTACTTTGCCGACATCCGCAACCCGCCTCGCTACTCAGTTGATCTGCGTCGCAGCGAAGACAGGTGCGCGTGCCGCGTGAACCTCCTCCACTTCTCGTTCTCGCTTGGGCTCACAATGTTGTGGTGTACCACTTGGCTTCTTCTCCTTCTCCTTCTTCTTCTCCTTCTCCTTCGCTTGGCGTCAACAGGCACCGCTACAGCGAGATTGCAGGCGATGCCTTCATGAGGAGGCGCTCCTTTGGCACCCGCGGCACCGCGCTCACCGTCGAGCCTCTTGGTACTACGTGTTGTGTCGTTGGTCGTGTGCGTGTGCGTGTGCGTGTGCGTGTGCGTGTGCGTGTGCGTGTGCGTGTGCGTGTGCGTGTGCGTGTGCGTGTGCGTGTGCGAGAGCGATTGGCTGCAGTGGCTGACTCGGCCCTTTCGCAGACGAGCAAGAAGAGGATCTCTTCGGTCGGCGCAGCAGGGAGATGCCGGCGCTGTTTGGCATCCGCCCGTCGTGGTCGGGTCGCGAGTCCGTCGATCGCAGGCGGTTCACCCAGCAGCTCGACAACGAGCTTCGCGCGCCCCACCCCGTCCATCGTACGCCCTTCTCATTAAGTAGTCAAGCATGAACGCCAACACACAACACACAACACACAACACACAACACACAACACACAACACACAACACAACACACAACACACAACAACAGAGTCCAACATCTTGGCCCTGATTGGCAACATCATCTATGCCGCGCTCTTCGGCTGGATCATCGCCGCCGCCTACATGGCGGCCGCGGGCGTCCTGTGGCTCTCGCAGGTGGGCAAGCCCTACGCCTACATGTGCAAGAAGCTGGCGGGCTACTACCTGTGGCCCTTCGGCAAGTACCTGACGGTAGGGTCCTACGGCGCTTATGTCGATACCGTGCGCGTGGGGTAAAGTGTTAACCCCGAAGCCGTCTGCGTGTGTCTTTTTTCTCAGAGGCCCGCTGGCTACGGCGCCATGTCCGCGTCTAAGAAGGGTGCGTGAGCGATACGCCGTGTGGTGGTCACGCTCGGGCCTGACGTTCGTTTCGCTTTCGCTTTCGTTTTCGGTGTGTTCAGACGACACGCTTGAGCCGTTCACGGAAAGTACTTCGCTGTTGACGAGCCAATCCAAGCGTTCGCCAGTGATGACGGAGGAGGCCTACGTAGAGGTCTACGACGACTTCCAGGCCTACGAGGTCGGCGGTGCGGCCAAGGCGATCTGGTCCATCGTCGGTACCACACCTGCCAACCCCCACTTGCCCCTCTCGACGCTGACTCAGTGGTGGCTCGCTCCGCACACAGCCGCGTTCCTGACCGTGATTCACGCCGCGATCGCCGCCATCTGCTGGATCGTCGTCGTCAGCATTCCCATGTCCAAGGTGCTGCCTCCAGGCCTCCGCTCCGCTCTTCGCCCTTGCGCTGACTATCGCACCTCTCGCTCGACCTCCTCTTCGTCTTCTTCTTCTTCGACAGGTCCACCAAGTCGGCATCAAGATGGCGTGGCACGACCCGTTGGCCGTGCGCATCACGTCGTCGGCCAAGATGGACGGCGAGATCGAACTGAGCACCGAACAGGCCTTCAGCCTCAGCTACGTCTCCTACCAGGCGCTCGGCGTCAATGTCGTCCTCCTGAGTACGTCCTGGCCCCTCTGAGTTTGCTGCTCAGGAGGTGCCTTCGTCTCACCCGTGCGTGCGTGCGTGGGTTGGTGGTGACACCAGATATGACGCCGTGCATTCTGATCGTGGTGCTGTTCGAGCTGGTCATTCCGCACGAGTACCACCCGCCCTCGGTCATCTTCGCGCTGATGTGCCTCTTTGGCATCGTCCCACTCGCCTATATCATCGGCACGGCCGTGGGCAGGTAATCAACAACTTTCTTTTCTTTTCTTTTTTCTTTTCTTTTGTATGATTTTGCTTTATTTTCAATGAAACGTTGCATTGTCTAACGTTTGTGGTGGTTTTCTTTTTGTTCCCCAGCATCGCGCTGCAGACCAATTTCACGGTGGGGGCCATGCTCAACGCCATCTTCGGCGTGTCGATCGAAATCATCCTCTACTCCAGGTACCGACCAACGTCGCGTTGTTATTTTTTTATTTTTTATTCTATTTTAGAATCGCCTCCTAACCGCGATCTTTGCATGCAGCGCCATTCGGAGAGGTGGTCTCGAGACGTTGGTGCAGGCTGGCGTTACCGGTTCGGTGTTGGGCGATCTGCTGCTCATCCCCGGTCTCTCTATGGTACCCCACACCGCACGCACGCAGTAAGTTATTTTGTGTTCTTTTTTTTTTCTGTATATTGATTACTGTTTATCGGGCAGCTCGCGGGCGGTATCAAGTACAAGGAACAGAGGTTCAGCCCGGCAGTGGCCGGCGTGTCATCCGTGCTCCTCGTCATTTCGGTCATCGGTACGCACACACGACACGACACATCACGATGACACACACACGCCTCCTCGCTCACTTGTGATCGGTTCCTCTAAGGTGCCTTCACGCCCACCATCGTGTGGCTGGTGTACGGTGAGTACCACTTCTCGTGCCAGAGCTGCACCTTCTTCAACGGGTACGTTCTACTCTGCTCGCTGCCGCCCTGATCGCGGTGAGTACTCCTCATTGACTCGACCCACTTTTCGCCCATGCAGCACGGAAGCCTGCCAGGCCTGCGACTTTGTCCGCGTGACCGATTACGACTCGTCGCCTGTCTACATTCATGCCGTGAGGTACCAGCCTGCGCCCTGTTGCTGCGTATGTGTCGTGTGTGTGTGTGTGTGCGTGTGTCGTGTCGTGTGTCGTGTGTGTCGTGTGTCGTGTGTGTCGTGTGTCGTGTCCAACTAAACTCGCATCGACGAATGCCAGACCGCTGATGTACGCGTGTTCGATCATTCTGCCCTTCGCCTATCTGGTCGGCCTCCTCTTCACGCTCAAGACCCACTCCTACATTTTCGAGAATGTCGAGCCCGATGAGCAGGCACGCATCACCACCGCACACACGGCCGCACACGCACAACCGCACACGCACGCATGTTGAATTCTTGTTCTTACGACGTGGTTGCGCAGGATGCCCCTCGCTGGACCATTCGCAAGTCGTCGATCGTTCTGGGCATCTCCATCGCCCTCTTCGCGATCGTGTCGGAGGGTCTCGTCGCCGTCATGGAGCCGGCCCTCCACGATCTCGGCATCAACCAGACCTTCGCCGGGTTGACACTGATGGCGCTCGTGCCCTCTTCCGCCGAGGTACGCACCATAACCACTCATTCTCTTGTTTTCGTTTCGTTTCGGGACTAACCACAGCACACGCACCACCGCACACGCACCACCGCACACAGTACGTCAATGCCATTCAGTTCGCGTTGAACAACCAGATCGCGTTGTCGATGGAGATTGGCGCCTCTTCTGCCGTCCAGATCTGTCTCATCATGATGCCCATCCTCGTCGGCTTCTCTGCCTTTGTACGTGCATTCCACGCATTCCACGCACGCGCCGCACACGCCAAACCTGTCGCACACGCACTGACACACATGCGCGTGGCACACCCAGGTGAACCACCTGAACAGTGCCAACTCGTTCATCCTCGTGTTCCCGCTGTTCTCGGTGTTCGCCATCATCATGAGCGTGATCATCGTCAACTACATCTCCATCGAGGGTGTGACAAACTACTTCAAGGGCGCCTCACTCACCATCATCTACCTCCTCTTCGTTGCTGCCTTCTTCTTCTCCCAGCATGTGACAGTGTAATCAGCTTCCTCTGCCCTCCTTCTTGCTTTGTCTCTTTCTCAGCCACAATCTACAACATTTTGTACATTCAGCAGCACCATGTGACCTCATTTTGTCATGGTTGGCACAAAAGAAAGCCTTCCTTTCCAGCCAGCCCACTCCTTGACCCACAACCCAACACTGGCAAGAGACTTCACAGGCTGGACCCAACCAGGAAGGAAGAAAAGAGAAAAAAGAAAAGAAGAAAAGGAAACGAAAGGCCTTATCGTGTGAACAAGCAAAGATGAGGTCCTGCGCTCGCGTCAGCTGCCGGCCTTCTACGCGGCCGGGTGCACTCGTCACGTCCAGCAGCTGGCAAGGTGCAGTGGGAACGCACCGGAGCAGCCAGCGCCTGCGGCAGACGACCGATCATCACTCCACATCAGTTGTGCGACAACTCCGCTGCTTCTCGTCAAGCACAGCCCCTGGCGAAGGAAGCGAATTCGAACCGGAGGTGGTGGACCAGGTGCCCTTCCCCTCTTTTATCTATTTTTTCTATTTATTTATTTATTTAATCTATTTATTTACGAAAAACAGTTCAAGCGTGCGTTCTACGACCAGCTGGCCGGTGGACCCAACAGCCCCGTCATGATCGCCGACGTCGAGGGACGCGGCCGCGCCATTGTCGCACGCCACAACATCACCAAGGGTACCCCTCGTGCGGCACGACACACACGCACCCGCACACGCACCCGCACACGCCACCGCACACACCGCACACAGTCTAAACAATTGGCTGCGGCAGGTCAGCTGATCACGGCCGAGAAGCCCTTCGTGAGCTACCTCTCGGAGCGCGTGGAGACCCACGGCGCCGCGCACCCGCCCAAGCCCACCCGCTGCGACCACTGCATGCGCGGCCTTCCCCCCGCCGCCGCCAAGGCCGCCCAACACAACAATCCCGCCGGTGCGGTGTGTGCGGTGGCGTGTGCGGTGTGTGCGGTGGTGTGTGCGGTGGCTTGTGCGGTCGTGCTCATAACTTTTTTTTGGTGCTCAACAGAGGACGAGCGGCTGTGTGGGTCGTGTGGCCAGGCCTACTGCTCGCACGCGTGTCGCGAGGAGGCCAAGGCCCAGTACCACGAGGCCATCTGCGAGCTGGGCAAGGAGGTCCGCGAAATGGAAATCCACTGCAGCAAAGGTACCACCGCCACCTTAACTCTCACCGTCACCTTAACCACCACTACCACTCCCACCACCTTAACATTCATTGCCGCCACCTTAACACGGATGGGTCTTCAGACAAGCGCAAGTTTCCGCTGTTGGCGATGCGGACGATGGCCCGCATTCTGCTCAATTTCCGGGACACGGGCTCGCTCGACGCGACGTGGGTCCCGCTGCAGGTGCTGGGCTTCGCCAAGCAGAAGCCCGAGCTCTGGACCCAAGACTACGACGTCTTCAAGCGCTGCTTCATCCACAACGAAGACCAAGCCGACTGTACGGGTGTCGTGTGTGTCGTGTGTGTCGTGTGTGTCGTGTGTGTCGTGTGTGTCGTGTGTGTCGTGTGTGTCGTGTGTGTCGTGTGTGTCGTGTGTGTCGTGTGTGTCGTGTGTGTCGTGTGTGTCGTGTGTGTCGTGTGTGCGGTCGTGCGTGTGCGACTGACGAGAGAAGCTTGGCAGTCTTCAGCTATGAGTGGTACTGCCGCATGATGCAGATCTTCTACATCAACTCGGTCAGCGTGACGATGGACTCGACGCAGCAAAACGTCGGGGCCGGCCTCTACATCCTCTCCTCCTTCTACAACCACTCCTGCGTGCCCAACACCCGCTCGTCCTATCCCGGTGCGTGTGTGCGGTGGTGTGTGCGGTGGTGTGTGCCGTGTGTGCGGTGCTGACACACGTGTGCGCACACAGAGAACAACACGTGGCACGTGTATGCGAGCAAGCCGATTGAGGCGGGCCAGGAGATCTTCATCTCGTACGTCGACCACATGAAGAGCAACAAGACCGTCGAGACGAGGAGACAACACCTCTACAACCACTACGTACCGTTTGCCCCCAAACACTCTCGTACCAACTCTCCTGTGATTCACGACCAACGACACGACACGACACGACGCGACACAGGGCTTCTGGTGCGAGTGTCCGCGCTGCCGTCTGGAATTGGATCTCGCCCGACGGGAGCAGGGCCCCGCGTGAGTTGTGTGTGTTCTGTCAAACTCAAACAAGAGAACACAAACTAACCAACAGAGGTGAAAAAAGAGACATTTATTTGATTACATTTTTGTTGTGTTGTGAACAGGCGGTGGTGGTCACTTGCCGGTGACGGCGGGCGAGGTGGTGGCGGTGGTGGTGGCGGATGGTGGGTTGATGATGGCAATGGGCAGGAGGAACTCCTCGTGGAAGCCGGACATGGCGGCCAGGAGCAGGTAGGGCAGCGAGGGCGGCACCGCGCCCGCCGTGCCCATCCCCGGCCGCATGCGCGAGGCCCGCAGCGCGTCGCCCAGCTTCGACAGCCGCTCGGCCATCTCCTTCACGTGCGACGGCGGCACGAAGAGCAGCGTGCACCCGCGGCGCGCGAGCTCCGTGACGAGCGGGTGGCCGTCGACCAGCTCGCCGTAGCCCATCAGACACACCGACCACTCGCCGGCGCGGGCTCCGCTGTCTCCGGCGCCGCCCACAACGGCCTCGGCCAGGGCCGACGGCGTAGCGCTGGTGGCGGCGGCGGCGGCGATGACGGGCGCGAGGTCAACAAAGGCAAGCGAGCGCAGCTTCTTGCGGTACTTGGAGACGAGCTTGGGCGTGGCGGTCAGGGCGCAGGCGTGGGGCCAGCCGAAGCCGGCCTCGCTGCCGTAGACCGGACCCTCGGGCCACACGCGCAGCCCGTGGAGCGCGTTGCCCACGACCCACTCGACCTGGCGGCCCTCGGCCTCGTCGTCAAAGCGGGCTTCGCTGCCGGGGCCTCCGCCGCCGCGCTCGCGGCTGCCGCGGGCCGTGACGGGCACCGGGCTGGCGGTGATGAGCGCCGACGACGGGCCGCCGCCTGGCGAGGGGAGCACCATGGCCGCGTGGTGGTGGGCGGGCGCCAGGTGAGAGAAGGCGAGCACAAAGCGCGGGATCTGCTGGCCCATCGCCGCCAGGGCCGCCGCCGACACCGACATCGACGCCGGACCTTCGCCGCGCAGCAGCTTCCTCGGTTTCTGTTTGACACGACACACACGACACACACGACACACACGACACGATACGACACACGGCACACGACACGCATGCGATTAGGCGCAGACGGTGGAGAGAGAGAGAGAGAGAGAGAGAGTGCACGACTGGGGCGGTGGGTACCAGGGCGGGCGAGTGGAGGAGGCCGTGCAGCGAGAACGAGCGAACGACGGCGTCGTGGAGCAGCAGCTCCCACGGGATGATCTGCAGCGGCCCATTACAGACCAGCAGCTGAGGCGCGCGCACAGAGTGACACCCGCGCACGTCAGTTACACCGCACACGCACGCACGCACACACGCGCACGACCGCCCACGCACGACCGCACACACAGTGCGATAAGGTGGTGACGTACGACAGGCGGGGTGGCGGAGATGGCGCGGGTGGCGGCGGGCAGGCCGTGCGAGGAGGACGAGGTGAAGCGGCGGAAGCGGGCCGAGAAGAAGCCGCTGGTCGACTTGGCCACGGGCAGGTCCACCGGCACGATGCCCGCCGAGCTCTGGCCCGACGCCGGCATAATCTCCAACACCGACGAAAACACCTGCACGTTCGCCACCGCACACACACTCATCAGCCACGACCGCACACGCCCGACCGCACACGCGCAACCGCATATACGGCACACACACACGTACGCTGGTGAGTTCGCCGAGGGCCGAGTGGGCGAGTTCGGGGAGGGGCGCGAGGGGCTCGTCGGCCTTGGTCTTGATCTTGTGGAGCAGGCCGGGCGGCGGCGGGTGGGAGACCAGCGAGGCCAGGTAGGCCAGGGTGACCTCCGAGAAGCAGATCTTGCGCGACGCGGCCGGCGCGCCGGCCGACGGCGACGTGAGGTGGGTGAGCGACGGGGCTGAGTCGGCAAAGTAGAGGTAGAGCCGCAGCGGGCAGGCCTGGGTGGCGGTGGCGATCTCCTTGGCCGAGAAGCAGTCGGACAGGGGCGACTTCATGAGCTCGCACAGCGGCACGAAGCCCGAGCCGGAGCCGGCGGCCCGCGAGCCCGACCCGCCGGCGCCGGCGCCCTCGCCGCTCTCTGCGGCGTAGACCCGCTTGGCGAGGAACACGCACGGCGGCACCGCCCCCGCAGCCGGGTTGAACGCGACACCTTTGACACCGCACACGCACGACACGATTGGTGAGTGTCGTGTGTGTCGTGTGTGTCGTGTGTGTCGTGTGTGTTGTGTGTGTCGTGTGTGTCGTGTGTGGCGTTACCGTCGCTGGAGTTGGAGAGGGCGGGAGCGGTGAAGGTCGAGGACTTGCTCCTGCGGTGGCCGCGCTTGCCGATCTTCTCCATGGGCGTGCGCTCCTTCTCGGCCCCGCTCGAACCCGGCAGAGGCTGGAACGTTTCCTGAACGTTGAAAAAAAAATTAGTAAAATAGTAAAATTAGTTTAGATAATAGTAAAATAGTTTAGATATATCAATAATGCCAATAATCAGAATAAAAAAAAAAAAAGCAGCATAAGAATAAGAATAAAAGAAAAATAATTGGGAAAATGGCACCTTTTGGCCAAAGAATTCGAGCCATTGCTGGAAGAGCGGGTAGAAGGAGGCGCTGGCCTGGCGGAACTGGATGCGGGGCTGCAGCTGGAGCGCCTTCGACACCGACCCGAACTTGTTGTGCTTGTTGCCCGACGTCGACCGCTCCCGCTTGGGCCTGCGACGTGCGAAACCAAAACGATGTGTGAGCCACACCGCGTGCGATGGCGCGTGCGGTGGTGCGTGTGCGTGTGCGGTGGTGCGTGTGCGGTGTGTGTGTGGGAGGTACGTGAGCTCAGGCGGCGAGGAGGACAGGGGCGAAGGCAGCGGTGAGTCGGTCGTGGCCGGCGCGCCGATGTCGCTGCGCGATTGCCAGTCCCGGTGGGCGTAGAGCTGCCGCACCAGCGCGTCGAGCGACGCGCCCGGGCTGATGGTGAAGTTCACCGACTCGGCCTCGTCCACCATCAGATGCACTGACACCGGCAGCTCGCCCTATGGCCGCACAGCAAACATGCAACGCTCAGCAAAGTATCTCTTAACGACATACACACACCACACACACACACACACCACACACACACACACACACGAGACACGCACCTTTTCCTCGTTGGACATGGGTCCCGAGGCCTCGACTCGCCCTGCCAGCTGCTGGATGCGCTTCTTGCCTGCGCAGTCACAACACGACTCGCATGAGTTCGTGCGTGCGATTGTGTGTTGGTGTGTGTGTGTGTGTGTGTGTGTGTGTGTGTGTGTGTGTGTGTGTGTGTGTGTGTGTGTGTGTGTGTGTTGTGTGTGTGTTGTATGTGTGTGGTACCGGATGCGGGGACGTAGGCCACGAGAGCGTTGTCCAGCACGAACATGTAGACCAGCTGCGAGAGGGCCGGCCTCTGCACGATGAGCTCGTTGAAGGCGTACGACGACGATCGCTTCTCCTGCAGCAGCCGCATGAACGTGCCCCGCCCGCGGATGCTCACGCCCTTCCCCAGCTTCTTCCCGAACGTCACCGGCTGCGCTCCCACCTTTCCCTCGCCTGCCCCCCCGCAGGCGTGAGCACACCGCACACACCGCACACACCGCACACCGGGGGAGTACCGTTGAGAGGCTGGCGGTTGTTCTGGCGGCGGAGGAGGCGGGCCTGGTGCTGCTCGCGGGCCAGGGCGCGCAGGGAGGCGCGGTTGGTGGCGAGCATCTCCTCCTGCGACATGCGGCCATTTACATATTTGTTTATACAGTTCTTGATCCACCGGAGCTTGCCCCACGCCCCGCCGCCTTCGCCGACCGACGACGCCGCGAGCGCCGATGCGGCCGCGGCGCTCGCCTCCGCCGATGATGACTGAGACGACGACGATGAAGATGCCGAAGCTCCGCCCGACGTCGATGACGACGACGACTGCGAAGGCGTGGTGACGCCGTTCTTCTGCTTTTCCTCGTCCTAGAATATTGATGTGTGGTTAAAGAGGTGTGTGCGTGTGTGATGGTGCGTGTGCGTGTGCGTACGTCGACGGAATCAAAGTTGAGGTTGCCCCCATCGCGCGAGGTGAAGGAGGGGTAGCGCTTCCGCTTGTGGCCGATGACGCCGTTGAGGTCCTTGTGTGCCGGTGTGCAAATGAGCCGCGTGACCTGGGCCAGCGCGCTGGGCGCGTCCGCGTCCGTCGGCAGGCGCAGGTTGTAGGACCGCTTGCGCGTCTGCTCGAGCTCCCGCTCCAGCAGGAGGTACGCGTCGATCAGCATCAGGTTCTGTCCGACCGCCACATTAAAGAATGCTGACGTCAGCCACTGGACGCTGGCGCAACACCAAGTCGGTGTGGGCAGGTGGGTGGGTGGGTACCTTGTTGATGAGTTCGACGTCGAAGCAGAGCATGAAGCGAAGGAGCCGCTTGACCAGCTGCAGCGCGCGGCCGAGCAGGGTGGGAGGGGCGTTGTCGGCCATGAAGCGCGACCCGTCCATAAATAACAGCAAAAATTGGTCTTTACACTCGCGCCAGAACGCCAGGCTGTCGCCGATCGAGTCCTGCAGATACCGCAGCTCGGCCATGTTCATGTACCTGTCGTACATCGCGTTGAGCATTAACACACACACACACACACACACACACACACACACACACACACACACACACACACACACACAACACACACGACCGACGACAATGTGGCTGGTGTACCCGGTGAGCATGAGCATGACGTTGCAGGTCTCGGCGCAGATGTCGAGGCACGTTTCCGCGGGACCCTCGATGGTGTCGAAGGAGATAAATACGTCCTTGCCCTCCTCCTCTTCGTCGTCCATCGTGCCCGGCTTGCGCGCCATGTCCGACAGCGAGAACGAAGTCAAACGCGCCCTGGTGGTAATGCTGACGTCAGCAACTGAACACCCGGGTTTAAGGTGGCGGCTGAGTCACTCATGTCTGTGCGTACCGTTCCTCGTAGGGGACGCGAAGCAGCGCGACGTGCACGAAGAGGTGGTCGAGATAGACCTCGGCGATGCGCGACAGGGTTTTGGAGAGCTGGAGATCGTCGCCCACGGCCAGGAAGTAGTCGTAGGCCCGATCCAGCGACGACACCGCCTCTTGCAGCACATCACCTGCCGGGACCGAATGCAACTTTGTGTCAGCTACACACGAACGACCGACTGCAGTGTGTGTCTTGTGTGTGCGCGTGTGTGCGCGTGCGTGCGCGTGCGTGCGCGTGCGTGTGTGTCGTGTGTGTGTGTGTGTCGTGCGGAAGAGTGTGGTACCAGGGCAGGTGTAGAGCGTGGGCTCGACGGTGGGACGGCCCTTCTCGCCCAAGTAGAGGATGTAGCGCACGGTGTCCTCGTCCAGATTGGGCGCCGGCAGCGTTGTCGGCATCTGAGGCGGATTCCGAATGATTTCCTGGATACCATCACAGAAAGTTTAGTGAGCACGTGTGTGTGCGGTATGCAATGTGTGCGTGTGTGGTGCGGTAGTGCGTGTGTGCGTGTGTGCAATGTGTGTGTGTGTGTGTGTGTGCAATGTGCGTGCAATACCTGGAGGATCTTGCCGCGCAGATAGTAGTAGCGGCCCAGCAAACCCAGCGACTGCTTGGAGCACGCGCGAATGGCCAGGTCGACGCAGGCCAGCGCCTCCCCGTGCAGCGAGCCCTGCATGTAGTTCGACGCCCGCAAGTGCCAATACTTTGAGCTCTCCCTATTATTACCATTCGAATTCACCACCCGACACGTCAGCAATGAACTACAAACCAAACCAAACCAAAAATTACAAAACAGAATTACAATAATTACAAAACACTGTACCGCATGCCGGGGTCGAAGGCGGTGTCGGTGGTGGGGCGGAAGGGGTGGAGCGGCTCCTTGGCCAGGCGATCGAGCACGCACTGGGTCTCGGCGAACCAGCGCTTCTTGATGTAGGCCTCGGCGAGGAGCGTGAGCGCGCCGCGGTACTTCTCGCGGCCCAGCTCCTGGACATGCAGCTGGTGGAGGAGGATAAGATGCGACAGAAGCTCGATGGCGCGGTTCAGCTGGCCCGATTCCAGGTAGAGCGTGGCCGCGTCGAGCACCACCCGCAGCTTGCGCGCGTCGGCCCCGCCGCCCTGCGCCTCCAGAAGCTCGTACGCCATCTGCACGCGCGAGCAATGGATAAAGTTAACATTTAACTGTGCTCATTCGGTGTGTGTGTGTGTGTGTGTGTGTGTGGTCGTGCGTGTGCGGTGGTGCGTGTGCGGTGGTGCGCGGCGCACCTGAATGTGTGCCTCGGCGTGAGTGTAGAGTCCGATTTCAGAGTACTGCTTGCTCAGCATGTCGGACACATACAAGATCTGAATGGTGGCACGCAATTCCAGTCAGCAAAAAAAGATCAAATTGGCAATCGGTGGCAGGCGCGCTTAGTTTTTTACAAAAGTAAGTGAGTGCGTGCGGTACCTCGTTGATCTTGCCCTCTTCGGTGTACTTCTGGAGCATCTGGTGGAGGTAGTCGAGGGATCGCGGGTGGTCGTTGTGGGCGCGCGACACCTCGGCGAGCTGGTGCAGCAGAGAGTAGTACGCGTCGCGCTTGTTCCGCAGGTGCAGGCAGACCAGGGCCGAGTGGTAGGCCCTGTCAGTGTAATCAGGGAAGCGACGTCAGGCAAAAGAAGGGGCGCGTGCGGGGCTCTCAAAGGAAAAGTTGAGTTTCGCGCGCGCACCGAATGGCGTAGATGTATTTGTAGTTGCGCATCAGCACCGCTGCGTAGGAGAGAAGCGCGTTGGTGCCCAGCTCCGACGCAATCGCAGAGCAGCCCTCGCTCGCGTTGGGGCACCTGCACGGCCACACAGCGCCAGCGGTGAATGAGCAGGCGAACATGAGAGCGAAGACGACGACGACGACGACGATGAAGATGAAGAAGTGGGGGAGTACCGATCGAGGATGTAGACGGCCTCGAACAAAAGGCGCTCGCCGAGTGCAGTCTCCTCGGCGGAGCCCGCCGCAGACTCGGCCGAGCCCACGTAAAAGTTGCCAAGCGCATACGCCGCTTTCGCCTGCCACATCGATAACATGTGGTCAGAGAGTGGTTGGGTAGGAAGTTGCGCGTGTGCGGTGGTGCGTGTGCGATGGTGTGTGTTTCGAATGAGTAAAATCGCACCTTGTACCAACCAAGGGGGAGCCTGAGGTAGAGGTCCTGCAGCTCCTTGGCTCGCACGTCCGAATCGAACACGTCGACCGTCAGCGAAGCTCGCTCGCTGTCGTCTCCGCTCGCCGAGCCCTGTGCTCCCCCACCCCCAACCAACGTCAGCGTTAGCCAGCCAAGCCAGGCCAAGCCGAGAGCGAACAAGGAGAGAAGGAGGAGCGCGCACCCCAGCGCCGGCCCCGTCCTCGTCGGCCCACCAGTCGTCCTCGGCCCCTTCCATGGGCGCCTCCTCTTCCATTTCGCCGTCGGACTGGTAGTCGTTCACCGTGCACGTCTGCTCATGATACTCTGTAGCTTCCTCGCTGCAAGCGCTCATTAGCAATTAATAATAAATGTAAAAAATAACAAATAAAAAATAACAAATAACAACAAATAGTAAATACAAATAACAAATAACAAAAAACAAATAAAAGGCATGATGTCACAAGCGAGCGTACCTTTGGAGCTTGAGCGTGGTGAGGGGCGAGATGTAGTTGAGGTGGAGGTGGAGGTCGGTCAGGGCGATGGCCTGGAGGTAGGTGTTGTCCAGCACGCCGCCGTATATTCCGGAGACGAGCGGGGCCGCAGTCGTGGGCGCCGCGGCCGCGTTCGTGCGCTGGTAGATGTCCAGGAACCGAGCCACCACTCCAAACTTCTCTCCGCCCCCGTGATGGCTGTGTGTCTCGGTCTGCAGTGCGTGTGTGTGAGTTCGTGTGTGTGTGTGTGTGTGTGTGTGTGTGTGTGTGTGTGGTCAGCTGAGGTCGTCAATCAAGAATGAAACTGCATCGCGTCGACAGCACGTACGTGGATGAGGGCGAGGAGGCTGGCCGCCTGCGGCAAAAACTTGCGCACGGTCTTGAGAAAGCCGGCAAACTCCTTTTCCTTGTCGTCGGTCCACATCTTGGCGGCGAGGTTGACGAGCAGCAGAATCGAGTCGACCTCCTGCGGCAGCGGCGCGGCCGACGACGCGTCGTGCTTGCGGTCGCCGTAGGCTCCGAAGAAGTGACGAAGAGTCGCCCAACACTCGTCCCTCTTGCGCTGTGCGTAGGACGTGCAGCAGAAATCCGTGTACGCTCGCACCCAGTCCTCCGAAAACTGCGGCCACCACGTGAGTAACCGTGTGCGTGCGGTGCGTGCGGTGCGTGCGGCGCGTGCGGTGCGTGCGGCGCGTGCGGTGCTTGCGAGTACCTTCTCGTACGCAGCGACAGAGGCGCAGAACTCAGCGGAGGTGATGGTGAGGATCTGGTCGGTGAGGACCAGCGGCCGCTTGGTCACGATCGTCTCGAGCCACGACACCAACTCGCGCTCGTGCAGGTAGCTTTCGCCCTCCTTCGTCCGCAGCGAATACAAAAACGTGGGCTTGGGGAACCTGAGGTTGGTTGGTAGCGCCAACACACCGATCCACATTAGCACCGACCTATGCGAGGCTGCGTGTGTGCGTGTGTGCATGTGCGGTGGTGCGCGTGTGCGGTGTGAAGGCTTTGTTGTTGCGTACTTTTGGATCTCGACGTGCTGGTCGTCGTCGGTGTTGAGCTTGTAGCGCGGCGGCAGCGTTCCTCGCACGCTCTCCTCGGTGGGCTTCCGCGCCATTTCTCCCTGGGCGTCCATGCCATCGAGGTCGAGGCCCAGCTTGCGGCCCTGGTAGCGTATAGCGGCACATTGTGTCAACACCACACCAATTGAGTTCCCGACAACGATGCCATCGAGTGGTGCGCGTGCGTGTGTGATGGTTCGTTGTGTCGTACCGACGGGGCCGTGTCGCTGTCAGAGAGGTTAAGCTCGGCCTCCCAGTCCGACTCAGACTCGGATTCGTTGTCGGCCTCGTCCTTGTCTTCGGCATCCCCCGAGTCCTTCAATTTCAAAAATGCAACCCAATCAGCGCCCTGGTCATGCCCCGGCCATCACGGCCACTCCAGCGCGCCACGCACGCACGCACCGATTCAGCAGTCGCTCTCCGCGTGATCCGGGGAATGCTGCGTAACAGCGCGAGCGCCTCCTCCTTAATGGATTTCTGCAGACGCGCATAGAGTGGTATTGATCCATAGCTCTGGGTAAGCCGCCACACCAGAAGTGAGGTGAATGAAGAACGCGTACCGCCAGGGCGTAGTTGACTGCTCGGTCCAGGAAGCTGCGGGCCAGCTCTGTACAGAGGCGGGGGAGGAAGGCAGTCAGCGACTGTTTGCTGGTGTCATCGCTCCAACGCACCAGTGTGACCGGATGTTTTGAGGATCTTGCCGATCTCGAGGCAGCCCTTGGCGAACCCGTCCCAGTCCTGCGTCGGGGCGAGGGACTTGAGCTGGTTCGAGAAGCACACGGTCGCGCGGAGCGGGCGGTGCGAGGCCGCGGACGAGAGGCCCAGCTGGTACTGCACGCGGCCAGTCAACTGGCGTGTGTCGTGTGGTCTTGGAGTCAGGGCTCTGGATCACTGAATGTAATGGAATGGAATGTGCGGAATGGGAGCGCACCAGCGGGTCGGCCAACTTGTGGGAGGCCTCGAGAGCCTTGTGCAGGTACTCCTCGGCCTCGAGCATGTCTCCGCCCGAGCGCGCGGTCTCACCGATTTCGTACAACAGCTCGGCCTCCGTCTGGTCCGGACCATCTGTGGTGTGAACACAAGAAAAGAGAAAAAGACGAGCGAGATGAGTCTGTGGGTGAACTAATGCACACAACACGACATATGACACACACGCACGCACACACACACACACACACCACACACACACACACACACACGGCTCAAACTAGTAAGTACCTTTGGCCTGCGCACGCATTCTGACCACCAGCTTGTGCGCAGCTTTCAGACTGGCGAGGGCCTTGTGCCACTGGGCCTTTTGCTTGTACAGGTCGGCAATGTCGCGGTGTGCACGCACCTCGCCGGCCTAGATGGGCAACATACAGGATGAGCAAATGCCAAATTAATAAATAAATAGAAAAAGAAAGAAAAAGAAAATAAATAAATAAAACACGACTTAGCGGTGGTGAGACGCAACGCGGACCTTGTCGCCGTTGCTCTGGGCTTCGCTGAGCTGGGCCTCGTGGTTTTCCAAGTCCGTGTTCCAGGGGTCGGGCTTGAGCGGCGATGGCAGCACCGTACCACTGCGTTGTTCCCGACTGCCGCTCTGCTCCGCGCCTTTCGCCGCCGCCGCCGCTGCTGCCCCACCACTGCGGCCCGCAGCTTCGTCGTCGTCACTGTCTTCGATCACCAGCTCGTTGTTATCGTCCGCAACAAGTCCACCCACCGCACCGCCGCCGACGCCAGCGCCGCCTCCTCCAGCATTCTTCGCATTCGTCGCGCCATCGTCATCGTCGCTGTCCTCGATCACGATGTCCCTCTCCCACTCTTCTTCGCCATCGTCCTCGACGATGTGCGGACCTTGCTTGCGCAGCGTCAACGGCGCGTCGGCCGCGGCGGTGGCCAGGAGCTCCTGGTCCCAGTCCTCGTCGTCGCTGGTCTCGGCAGCGGCGGCGGACGCGCCGGCAGCAGGTGCGGCAGGTGGGGGCGGCAGGGTGGCGAGCAGCGCTTCGAGGCCGGCCACCAGCTGGCCCCACGCCCCCGTCTCGCTGCTGCTCTCGGACGCGAGTCCCTCGGCCACGGCCGCCACGGCCACGCTTCCACTGCCCAGAGCAGCGGGCGGGCCTGCTACGCCGTCTCGAGACGGCTTCACGGCCGCCGCCGTGACGTGATTCAGCCCCAATGCAGCAGGGCCTTGCATTGGGGGTAGAGATTAGAGAAACACGAATTGACGTAATTGGGGGGATCAAAAATTAAGGAAAAGGTTGTGGTTCAAGGCTCTTACAGAGGTCCTAATAAAATCGAGGATTAATTCCAACATGAAAGGGAGGCGCATGTACCCTCATCATCACTGAAGTCGAAATCGCTGTCCCAGCTTTCGCCATTGGTCGGGTCGGCGCGCACTCCAATAACCTGGAGGGGTTCGTCCTCTGCCTCTTCGTCACTACCGCTACTGATCACAAAGTCCTCCTCCCAGCCTTCCATCATTCGTCGTCCTCGAAGACCCAACCGGCCTTGTTGGATCTTTTTTTTGATTTTTAAATCTGCTTTCATTGGTTTGGAATGCGGAACATTCGAAAAATTGCGCCTGCTATGGAATGTGAAACATGCCAGGATCAAGAGAGAAGCACCCACTTCACCCTTGTAGGTAACCTACTGGCTTGCAACACCACCTTGAATTGTTTGTCAGACTTACATGCTCATCTCCACAAAGCCAAGCACTTCACCACAGTTACATTCTCTCTTTCTCTCTCTCTCTCTCTCTCAGAGGTGCATGTGCTGCACACTGATTTGCAGAAAATGGAGTGCTCATTAAAAAGTGACAGTGGCACTTTTCAACGAAATTAAAAAGTGGTGTACATAAAACACAAGATGTCAAGGAAGTGTACACAGGAGGAAGGAGGAGTTTTTATTTTACAGGTGTCCAAAGATCTCTTGGAGTCACCAGTGGGACTCCAGTGTTTGGATGGAAGGTGAAGCCACATGCCAGAACAGACCCCATTGGGACCATTCCCTCAGTGCCATGGTCAGCCCAGCGCCTGTTGGCAAAGTTCCACCAGTGGATGTTGAGCCAAGAGGACCATCAAGGAGGGGATCAAAAATCATCAAGTCACAGGTGGGCTGGGAAGAAGTTGTCAAGGATGGTGGGAAACAATTTAAAGTCAACCAGCAACAAGCTGTCACCCTCAGTGTGCCTCCAGAAGCTCAACCAGCACTACAACTTCCTCACCACACTAGAGCCCAAGATTGGCAGGAACTGTCTGACCTTGCTCCCTGCCATGAGCTTAATTTCAGGTGCACCTGTGCATGTTGCAAGCAGGAGAATATCAACCATGGAGAGGGTGCAATGTCAAGATTCTAGGGCAATTGACTGGTACAACACTGGACAGTGCATGGGTTCAAAGCCAGACATGTACAAGGTTTTTTAATCACAAAAAGAAAAAAAAAGAAAATACATGATAAAAAGCTGTGGTGCTCAGGTGTTCTTTGTCAATGTTGCTTCACTCTTCCCTGTAATCCTCATTGCCTTTGCCCTCTCATTGCTCTTCTCCTTGTTGGTCTACTCTGTGTGTTGGCCTTCTCCTTGTTGGTCTTGTCTCCTGGTTCTCCCCATTCCTTTTTCTTCTCTTTGCTTTTTCCCTCTCTAGATCACTTTTCATCATGGCCTTGCTGTGGCCTCACATCTTGCACGAGATCAAGGAGTCCAGTCCTTGACACTTAACACAATGAGCTCAGCACAGGAGGTATTGTGCCCATTTCATGATTTTGGTCTTCATCTCTTCCATACAGTTCTTCATGTCACTCAGCTCCACTTCCATCTTACAGTATTTGGTCTGGTCCTTGCTGGGTTCCCCTGGATGTTGTCTCACTGCAGGGTCTCAGCTGTTGTTTGCATGAGCTGGAACTTCTCCTGTTGTTGTTTCACCAACTGCTGCTGATGAGCCTCTGCAGCCAGTACAGTGCTAGGCCCCATCTTGGAGTTGCTGTGCCCACCATCTGGTATGCACACTACACAAAGCATGCCAGACCTACACTTGGTCTGGGTAGTGGAGCTGGTCAATATGAAAAGTTGTAGAGCAATAAGATGTCCCATGCACATTGGAAGTTGTATACAAATTCAAAGTCTGATGCACATTGGATTGATATAAAACTTCTGATTTGCATTGGAAGTTGTGAAGCAAGAGGTAATACCCAGGAGTATTAATGGATGACTCTGGGTGGTGGAGAAGAGCTGGTCAATATCCACATACATGTGCCAACCAGGAGAAAGCTCAAGTAGACCTGTCAGATTACTGATTGGGCCTGGTTGCTGAAGATCTGGTTTACTCTTTTCTTTTTCTAACTCTCCCTTCTCAGAAAACACAAGAAGGGCACACTGCTCCCAAGGCAACCATGCTGTCAAAATATGCTAAAACCTTCACTGGTCTGGAGAACTCAACTGGCATCATTGAGTACATCTTTCTTGGGCTCATTTCACTTCCTCCAGACCCTGTCTCTCACATTTACCTTGTGTTTTGTTAGCCTCCTCCATCAGCTCAACCAATTTATGCCTGAGGGTCAAGACTTCATCTCACTCAACAACCTCACCACATCAGTCTTCCAGAATCTGACCATGGAGGAGATAAAGACTGCTCTGCCACTACAACAGGGCAAAAGTATGCATCTCTTGCCTTGCCTTGCCAACTCGATCTGTGCCAGTTCCTTTGCCTTGAGGAGGCAGCTCATCCTACTCAACTCCAATAAATTGCTACTTTTTTCTTTGATACCCTCACATCACCACTGCTCACTTCACACAAAAAATGCCAAAGTTAGGACCATTGCACCCTGTTTAACTTGCCTTTTCCCCTTCCTGTACAGATTTCACATTATTTCTTACTCACAATGTTCACCAAAACATGTATATCCAAACAGACACCTCTATAGGTGTGTACAATTTTGAAAAATCAAAAAGTGACACTGTCACTTTTTTACAAGCACTCAATTAGGCCCTGTTGCAGATGAGATGTTCTTTACCTTTGGGTATTGTTCTCCTGAGTGTGTCAAGGCCATACAGTACACCACTACTCAAGAAGATCATCAGGTTTCCACCCTTTCAGCACAAAACTGCCCAAGTTCATCCTCCTTTCTATCTAAACACACATCTTCACAGTGGTGTGGCATGTAGGTGGCAGTGTGCAGTGGAGTGGGCAACATGTACACAGCAAGCACCATCTTGATCAAGTTCCTCATGGACATCAGCCTGCTTGGGGAGCAGACCAAAAGCACCAAGCTGGCCAACTCTTTGGGGGAGCTGATGGCCAAGAATGGCAGACACCAATGACATGCATGGCTTCCATTCTTGATCAGCTTGGCCTCTGCTGGTATGCACACCCCCTGCTCCCTTTTTCAAGGGGTGAGTATGTGTCATCTTGTCATGTTTGGTGGCCATGGCCAGTGCTTTTGATGACAGTGCAGATGACATGCTGTACCTGCTGTACAAGGCCACTCTCAATTTCATGCACAAGCTGACACTGCACTTGGCTGCCAACTGACTTACTGCCACTCAGGCACTCAACTATCCCTTCCTCTGGCCAACAACATAACAGCTTACATAAACTCATCTCACTTCTTTGTACAAAGAAAAAAGTCATTTTTCAAATGAAAAACGATTAATTGAGTAGCGCAGCCTGGCGGAAGATGAGGGCGAAAGCGATGGAGGAGAGGTAGCCAAAGACGGTTTTGAGTAGGCGGTAGGCGGACCCAACGACGGGCAGGCCTTCGAGCACGGACCGGAAGCTCCAGTGGTCCTGATGGCTCACCACGACCCACTGGCCATCTTCATCTTCATCTTCATCGCCATTGCCGCTGGGCTTTCGTCGCTTCTCGAGCACGAGCAGGGTGAAGGTGCGAATGGTGATGGAGGGCAGGAACCAGAAGAAGCGGTAGAAGACGAGGTGATCGATCACCAGCGTCCTGCGCGCCTCATCGAAGAGAGCGTGATTCTCCAGCGACCAGTAGCTGTGGAACAGGTAGCGCAGCAGCACGAACTGGATGAAGAGGAGTCGGCTCGTGGGCACGGCCGTCATCGGATCCTCGAATCGCACGTCGTGCGCGTAGAACCGCTTCACGTTGGCTCTTATTTCATCTACGGGCGAATGGCTGTTGTAGAGCCCAGCCACTCCATCTTTCAGCGTCTTCAGATCGCCTGGCAGGTTGGTTGTCTGCGCCATCTTTGTGCTTCTACAAATGTACAGCTGATGTCGATGCGGGGTGCAAGTGCAAGCAGCGCCGTGAGCCCAAGAACCCAAAATTAATACACTGGCCGCGGATAGTGCTTCTTCGCACAGCTCACAGCTCGTTGTTGGCGATGAATGAAGGCACGACGACCAAGTGGATGCACACTGCCCCTCTCCAGGGCTGTGCCAGGTACAAGAAGAAGAAGAAGAGCTAGAACACACAACACAGAGGATAAATAAATCGAATAAATAAGGGGAGCCTGTGGCTGTGTCCTCCTTCACGTTGAGCGTCCGTTCTTCAATCAATCAATCACCACCCGCGCTGGTGGTCAGAAGGCGAAGGCTTACTCGGCCTTCTTCTGCTTGCGGGCAGCCTTCTTCCGCTTGGCCTCCTCCTGCTTCTCGGGGCTCTCGTGGACGAGAGGGCTGCACCACCACCCACGGTGAGATGAGCACACAGGCGTCTTAACGCCACACGCACCACCGCACACGCACAGGAAGGGCAAGTACGTCTTGTAGGACCCGCCGATTCTGTCCCAGAGGGTGAAGAACTGGCCGTAGTTGTAGTTGAACAGAAGGTGGTGGTCCGTGTGGTGCGCCGCACTGTACAAGTAGTCGCCCGCCGCCAAGGTGAGTAAGCTTCATTGGGGTGCACGCCACCGCACACACACACACGACCGCACACGGCCGCACACACGTACCCGTTCAAGATGGGACGGAAGAAGCCAGGCACGCGGTAGTCACCATCGTGGATCGAAATGGTCCAGAAGTTGACGAACACGAACAACGCTGCAAGCGAGAGAGCAAGAGAGAAGAGAAGAGAAAGCGCAGGCGACGTTGTAAGTTCACAAAGTGCGTGCGTGGTGTGTTGATATTAAAAAAAAGATCGGGAGACTTGCGATCGCTGGTAGGGTGGGCTCGTACCGAGGTAGGTCCACTTGTGCGTGGGGAAGAGGAACACGTAGATGTGGTACGGCAGAGACTGCGCCCAGCCATCGACCGGGTGGAAGGCGTGCGACGCGAAGGGCGTCGGGACCTTCCACCAGTGGTGGGGCTTGTGGCACCAGAAGTAGAGGTATCTGTGCACCCCCCAGAGACGGCCGATTCGAGCCACCTCGCAAACGTTAGACAAGCGACGCAGTGTGGTCTGTGTGCGTGTGTGCGTGTGTGCGTGTGCTGTGACTTACCTGGAGTGCAGAGCACGGTGGATCCAGTAGATGCCAAAGTCGGTGAAGAACAGGAAAGTGAAGATGGTCAGGATCAGGAACGGCAGGCCGTACTCCTCGACCTGGTGTGTGTGTCGCATAGCACCCACCAAACGAAAATAATAAAATAAATAGAAAATAAAATAAAATAACGGACAAATAGCGCGTCAGAAAGAACGAAGCACGACGTAGCGACCACGCGCGGCGTGTGCGTGTGTGGTCGGGCATGGCTTCGAAGTGCGTGCAGGGAGCGCGTACGTTGTCATAGCACTTGCTGTAACCGTAGATTTCTCCAAGGATGATGGGCGTGGTGAGCACACCCATGAACGGGATGGAGGCCAGCGACAGGCCGATCTCCTTCGCCACCTGATTCTTCAGGAACTGTGTGGTCGGGTCGCGTCACGATGCATCATCGATCGTAAGCATCGGCCAATGCAATCATTAAAAAAAATATTCTGTATTAAAAATAATGGAATAATGCAGAATGAAAATGTGTGAATGAATGGTACCAAAGGGTCCTTCTCGGCAGACTTGTCGAAGATGAAGAGGTAGCTGAGCGCAGCGAAGCTGATGTACATGAGGATGCCGCCAATGGACAAGATGAACCACACCCCGAAAATGTTTCTCGGCAGAGTGGGCTCCTGCACCAGCGGCGAGTCGATGAACGAGTACAGGTAGGGCTCCAAGAGGAACCGGTCCGTCGCGTACAGCACGTCGTCCATTTTCCTGCAGCACAGAGATGATATATGCGAAGATTAAACCTCGCGTTCGTGTCTACATGCGCCAATCTATCTCAATCTTGCATACTTTTCTTATGAGCTCGTCCTCTTGGCAAGCAATGGAGTCCCACGACCGGTCGGCGTTGATGAGCGGCGGATCGGGAAATGGAACAAGCACTTGGTCGCGCAGATGTGAACTGTTGCACTCGGCAGCAATACAGGCCGAGTATTTTTCTGCCGATTTATTTATTGGCGCATTCGGCACATTCCAATGGATTTGTTGCGGACACCAGCGGTCTGATTCGAGAAATTGGGAGAGATGATTCGGACACAAGCGGGAGGCTTGCGGGAAACTCTGATTTTATGCGGACATGCGCGGTGGTTGGCCAAAATAGAAGTAAAATGTACCAATTGGCGAAGACCTTTCCACCCAATCACGGGAAAACACGAGTTGCAGGTGAGCTGTGGAAAAGAGGCTCCGAGCCCTCACCAATCAAGAGAGGCCACCACATTGTCCTTTCGCGCCTTCTCTGCCCTGAACACCATCACATGCGATTCCAACGTCTGCACGATCACCATCGTCAGCTCGTGTCGTCTTGTGTCATGCGTGTCGTGTCAGGTTTGGCACCTCTTCAGGCGTGGAGGAGATGAATGAAGGGTCGTTGAAGCCGACGGCGTCCACGAAGTCCTTCATCAGGTAGTAGTCGCCGAAATCGTGCCCCGTGAGCTTGGTGTCGGGCTTGGCGTCCTCCTCGGTCGGGCAGCAGCTGGCGGTCTGCAGCGAGTTGAAGTCGAACGTCGTGACGCGGTGCCCGTCGCCCTCCAGCTGCCCCCGCGTCCCGAAAATCCTCGTCTTGCGCGTACATACCTACCGACGAGCAATGGTCACCTCTCGTGTGCGTGTGTCGTGTGGTTGAGTCGTGTGTGTCGTGTCGTACCTCCTTGGTGAAGGCGATCATGGAGAACGAAGCGGTCTTGCCCTCCTCAAACAACATGTTGACCACCTGGTTGTCCACTACACCATAAAAAAAAATAATAATTCAATAAATATTATAAATATAAATATATATAAAGAACTTTAAAACGTACTGACGTCGTTGTCGCATTCGTAGACGCAGCGGCCGTAGGGTCCGGTCTCGAGGGCCTCGCGGACGTTGGCGACGGTCGGGTGGTCGTCGACGATCACGCTCACGGGCCACTTCGTGTGGCCGCCCTCGATCCGCTCCAGGTAGATCTTCTTGGCCGAGTAGGGACACTCCCGCTCCACGCGACAGTCCAGGCAGCGCGTCCCCGCGCCCTCGGGCTTCTTCTCCTTCCGGAAGTGGTTCAGCGTGCCTACCGCACACGCACCGCCGCACGCACCGCAAGCGTCGCACACGAGCGTTGGCGAGTGGTGGTTTCCAAGAGAAGATAGGAGGGGAGTACCGAAGGACGAGGTGCTGACGCACTTCTTGCCGACGATCCAGCGTATCCAGTCGATGTCGTGGCAGCTCTTGGCCAGGAGGGACGAAGACGTCTCGTCCTCCCGCCTCCAGTTGCCTGTCAAGGAAAACATGACAGTGTGTCGTGTCGTGTCGTGTCGTGTCGTGTCGTGTCGTGTCGTGTCGTGTCGTGTCGTGTCGTGTCGTGTCGTGTCGTGTGTGGTGCATGTTTGTGTCATGAACACGAACCTCGCACGTAGGAATGGGCAAAGTGGAACCAGCCCACGGGCTCCAGGTGCTGGACCGAGATGAGTTCGCCCAGCGCCCCGCTGTCGACTATACAATACCACGAACGTGTGCGAGTGAGTGAGCGAGCCAGGCGGTCGGTCGGTAGGTCGGTCTCTGATGTCGCGGTGCGTACGCACCGATCTGCTTGATCTTGCGGGAGTACGGGGTGTAGCGCATGACGTGCCCGATGGCCATGATGACGCCCGCCTTCTTCACCGCCTCCACTGGACAAGCCGACGGTCAGTCATGTCAGAATGTTGACAGCAGCAGCAGAAGCAGCGGCTGGCATCGTACCAATCTCGCGGCAGTCCTCCTCGTTCGGTGCCATCGGCTTCTCTAGAAGAATGTGGTAGCCTCTGTGTCGTGTGGTGTCGTGTGTGTCGTGTGTGCGTCGTGTTAGACTTTGCTCATCAACGAGACGAGGAGAGAAAACGCACTGTTGAGCGAAGAAGATGGCTGGCTCCTTGTGCATCGAGTCCAGCGTAGCGATCACCTAACGATCACACACCCGCCGTAGGCTCGCCCGGTCAACAACAACAGAACCAACAACTGGTGGAGGTGTGGTGCGAGGAGAGACAGGTAACGACGTACGACGGCGTCGCCCAGCTTGGGGAGGACCTTGAGCTGCTCCCAGCTGTGGAAGGTCATCTCGTCGGGCACGCCGTGGCACGCCGCCATCTCCTTGCGCCTGGGCTCGCGCGGCTCGGCCACGGCCACCACCTGCATCGATCAATTCACACATTGAAAGATGAAGAAGTAAATTAGAAGTAGAAACTCGATTGGTGAAGATTAACTCTTTTGTGGAGATGAGTGCAAGAGCAGCACCTGGCACAAGTCAGCATGTTCGAGGGCGTAGTTGGCGTAGTTGGTTCCACGATTGCCGGCACCCACGATGACCAACTTGACAGATTTGCGTTCTCTTCCCGCGTGCTCGCTCATCTCTCCCAATTAAACAATGTATCTCCCACCTCCTCAATCTCCAACGTAGGATTCCGAATGCGCACACTTGTGAGCTCACCCGAGCAAGCAAATAAGTTTATTTATTTAAAACTTATTATTATTTTAGATGCACACGAATAATTGCAAATTGAAAAGACTTTTAGATGAATCACTCGAGAAGGGGAAAGAGTGCTCAGTACGCAGCCTGGAAGAGCTCGATGCCGGCCTTGAGGTAGCTCAGGTCTTTCGGTCCGCCGTTCTTGTTGAACACCTTGAACGTGACAGCCGACTGGACGTTCGTGTTGGCGAGGACGAAGAGAGGGGTTCCCGGCTGCATCATCAGCTTGACCAGAATGCTAAGCGGGGCCATCACCATCTCACCCTTCTGCACTCATCACCACCACCACATCAGTCACCAGTCTTTCCATTCACACCACAACACAACACAACACACGACACGACACGACACAACACGACACGACACGACACGACACACGGGCACAACACAACACCGCACGACACGACCCACCACAAATAAACAAACAGGACGAACCACCACGGTGCGGAAAGGGAGGGTGGCGGAGAGGCGGAGGCCCGGCTGGTCGCCGGTGCGGTTGAGAACGGCGGTGAGCACCATGCTCTGGCCGGGCGCGGCCTTCTCGGTGCTGACTGACCAGGTGAGCTGCGGCCTCGGGGCCGGCAGCTCGTCGGGGGCGAGCAGCTCGTAGGGCGACGTGTTGTTAATCAGGAGCGTGAAGACCTGGGTGTGGACCACCGGCGGCGGGTCGACGGAGGCGGCGCTCACCGCGTGGAAGCTCAGCGCTACCACCAGCACCAGACCGAAAACCCAAGACAACGTTGACGTGCGATCCATCTCAATAATCTAAAAATCTAATCTATGGAAAAGATCATATTCAAATCAGAAACTACACTGAAACCGTTACACTTCAACATCCTTAAAGGTGATAAAAGGTGTTGCAAGTTAATCTGAACCTGGATGTGTGTAGGGCCTTTACTGGACGTGCGACTTAGTCAAAATAGCGTGTGGGCAGAGAACGTGAACATGACCATTTTTGTTCGGTGAAGTGCAGTTGGGGGGGGGTTGGTCAGGCAGTCGATCTGGACCACCTCGGCTGACGAGGGCGTGCCCAGCGCCGGGCGCTCTACGGCTTCTCGCCTCGGGAGGCCCTGAGGGCCGGGCGGGGCGACTGCTTCTTCATCACCTCCGCCAGCAGCTCCTTACGCGTGCGCCGCAGCGAAGACAGGAACTCGGGCGAGTGCAGGGCCGCCAAACCTCCATTGATAACTGCCCACGCACTCACATCAGCTTCGTCCACTCCATGGGTGTGTCGCGTGTCGCGCGTCGTGTGTCGTGTGTCGTGTGTCGTGTGTCGTGTGCGGTGGTGTGTGCGGTCGTGGAGGAAGAGTGTACGCTTGGCCAGTAGGAAGTTGCGGAAGTCTTCGCCCTTCCGAAACGTGGCTGGGAACGGGAGGAAAGGCATGTGGGGCTTCACGCCCGGCTTGTGCACAATGCTCACCGAGTAGGATGTGGGGCTCGCATTGGGCACCTTCTGGACGACGATAAAGACGTGGTTGAAGTGCGAAGAGATGGTCAAGGGATCAAAGCCGTCATCTCCACTGCCGCCATCTGCCAACATGGAACAGCGATTGGTAAGGTGTGTGTGGTGGTGTGTCGTGTGTGTGTCGTGTGTGTGTGTCGTGTGTGTGGTGTGCGCCACCTTTGAAGATGATCAAGCCGACGTCGTTGCCCAGATGCCGCTTTCTCTCGACTTGTTGCGCGTCGGCGCCGTGGAACGGGATGTAGGTGGAGACGTGGAACATTAGGTCGAACTTGTTGATGACCCTCGTGAAGATGGAAAACGTGCCAGTGCTTGTATCTGCGTGCCGCACGCGAGCAAGAAGCGTCAAGCGATGCAATGCGTGTGCGATGGCGCGTGTGCGTGTGTGGGTTGTACCTTTCGTGCCCAGTCCACCAGAGTAGCCCGACCACTGCGCCAGTTCTATCTTTGTTCCCAAAAACTCCAAAAACTCCTCAAACGCCGGACTACCGCGTACTGTGTGCGTGTGTGCGTGTGTGCGTGTGTCATGTGTGTGTGTTGAAAAGACGCGATGATCAGATCTGATAGCGAGGGAGAGTTAGGCAGTTGTGGGGTTTACCGTTGGCATACATCTCATCCTCGGTCTTCTGCCCGGGCCGGCAGTAGAGCACTCCAAACTTGAAGTTGCGCTGGAGCTGCTTCTCCTCGAACGCCAACAGATTCGCAACCAGCTCCGGGGTCGAGTTCTCCACCACGTCGCTTACGCTCAGCTCTGTGTGCGTCGTGTGTCGTGTGTGTCGTGTGTGTGTTGAGTGTCATCGACGCACCGTGATAAAGTAGCGGAGGGCTGGGTACCTGGGTAGAGCGTCTTGAGGTACTCGAACAGCTTCTTCTTGGAGGGCTTCTTGCTGGAGATCGGCACGAGCAACCGATCGTCGCCCTTGTGCGTTCTCACCAGCGTGCTGCGCGCGTTACACAGCAATCCGCAGCGGGTCAACAGCTAGCACACACACACAACGACACGACACACACGACACACACACGGCTCGGTCCCACAGGCCACGCTAGTGGGGGGGGGAAGGCCCACCGGTAGAGGTAGAGGGAGCCGTCGATCTTGTCGGTCTTGCTCTCGATCGATATCACCACCGGCGGGTCCGAGAAGCAACAGAAGTTTCTGTGATCTGCGTATGGCACCGCACACAACACGCGACACGCGACACGCGACGCACAACACACGACACACGACGCACACAACACACAGTTTCGGGTTGCATGGAGGCGCCGAGATGGTGGTTGCATGCGGGCGCATGGTGGTACCTTGGTTGGCGAGGTACTTCTTGTAGAAGCGGTGGCCGACGTTGAGCGACTCCCGGGTGAGCGCGAATGGGAATTCGGCCTCGTACGACCCGAGCTCAGTAGGCCACCCGCTTCCCGTCGACAGCAGACTGGTGGAAGCGCCCGGTGCATTCTGGGAACGAGAGCACTCTTGAGTGAGACACGCACGATGTGCACTGTGTGTGTGTGTGTGTGTGTGTGTCGTGTGTGTCGTGTGTGTGAGTCGTGTGTGTCGTATCGTGTGTGTGTGTCGTTTGTGTGCGGTGCCGTACAGTTGGCCAGGCCTTGATCTCCGAGGTGCGGGTCCAGGCGGCGTAGTCGCGCTCGAGCTGGACGGTGTCGACCTTGGTCTCCTCCTTCCTCTTGCCTAGAGTGCCCATGCCCGAACACTTGCCGCACAGCACTTGGTCCCCCTGGCACACGACACGACACACACGACAAACACACGACACACACGACACACACGACACACGACACACGTGGTAAGGGGCGGTGCATTCGGCGGGGTGAAAGAGGGGCGAGCGTGGTGGTCACCTTTTCAAAGTACTCGTTGAGGGACACGGAGCAGCGCGAGCACTTGAAGCAGGAGGTGTGCCAGTGCTTGCTTTCCAGGGCGGTGACGTACGTGCCCTGCGTGATGACGCCCTTGCAGTCCACGCACACGAGCCCCACCATCTGCGCCTTGTGCTGTGTGCGATGATGACACACGCTGTGAGCACCGCACACGCGTACCGCGCGCGCGCACACACACAGCACATGATGATGACACACAACGACGTACGAGGCGACAGTAGGGCTTGCCGTGGTATTCGAAGTAGCCCTCGGTGAGGGGCGCGAAGCAGGTGGTGCACACGAAGTGCTCGGTGTGGTAGCGCTCGCCCAGCGCGACGAGGCCGCCGGCGATGATGACCTTCTCGCACAGGGCGCACAGCGACTTGCCCACCCGCGCGTAGCACTGCTCGCACAGCCGACTGGGCTCCGCCGACGAGCTCACCGGCAGCAAGCCCTTCGCTGCGAACCCCACAATCAGCCGTCGATCACAGCCGCAACACGACACGCACGACACGAGCGACGCGCAAAGGGGGACGTACGCCCGAGTACGGGGGCTGGGGGCACCTCGACGTAGGGGCCGGCCATGGGCTCCTGGCACTTGGCGCAGGCGAAGCAGCTCTGGTGGTACATCTTGCCGTCCTTGGTGGTGACGGCGTACTGCCCGAGCGACTCCTTGCACTTGGCGCACTTCTTGCCCGCCGGGGACGCCGTGCTGTTCTTTCTCATCTTTGTTTGCGTTCCCGCCCTGCCCTCTGTCTTTTGCACCAGACGCCAGGTGGACAGCTCCTTTAGTCGTTTGTTCTCTTTGAAGGCAATAAAAAGATGAAGAGTGATTTTGGCGTTTGGGGTGCAAATGATGAAGATGAAGATTTTGCTGAGGCTGAGTTGAGAACTGAACTGAATGAACTGAAGGGTGAGAAGAAGAAAGTGGTACCCTGGGATTGAATCAGCTCTTTTTCAAGTTCAACCAGGTTGGTGAATCCTACAACCACTTGAGGATGGTTGTAGAGTTGGTTGAGGAAGGGAGAGTCTTCAAGGAAACGGTCAGTTCCAGCCACGCCACACAAAGGTTAGAGCCGTTGCACCTCGCAAGCGGGAGAACACAAGTGTTGTTTAAACACGTTGCCAACAGACTATATAAGGTAATGCCATTTCCATTTCTGTACCTCCCTAACAACCTCCACAGCAACCACGCTGGTGGTTGGCGGCAGTTGGCGGGCGGCGGTTGGTGGGTTTTTACCAGGGACAGGGGCGGTAGTCCTTGAGGAAGGCCCCGAAGACGGCCTGGCCCGAGTTGATGCCGTGGAGGACCGGGTCCAACACGCGCATCGCCGCGTCGAGCTCGTCCAGCGGCGCCCGGAAGCCGCGCTTCTCGTTCTCCAACGCCATGTGGAACGGACTCTCATCGTTGATCCTGTGTGTCGTGTCGTGTCGTGTGTCGTGTGCGTGTCGTGTCATGTGTGAGCGCGGGTAAGAAGCCAAAAAAGTCGTTTCAAAATGGCGGTGTGGCGTACCAGCCAGTGTCGACGCTGTTCATGTAAATCTTCTCCGTTGCGTAGGCCGGGGCCGACGTGCGCGTCATCATGTTGAGCGCTGCCTTCGCCATGTTGGTGTGCGGGTGGTGCGGCGTCTTGTGCTTCCTGTGATTCAGAATGGGTCAACATTTTTGCGCTCAATGTGTGCGGTGGTGCGTGTGCGTGTGCGTGTGCGGTGATCGATTGTTTGTTCACGCACCGGTAGAACTGGCCCTCCATGGCGGACACGTTGACGATGTAGGTGTCGCGGCCGCTCTTCAGCAGAAGGGGCTTGAGCTTGCTGTTGAGAATGAATGGCGCCAGCACGTTGATCGCCTGCACCTCGACCGCCTCGGGCAAGCTCACCTGCAGCAGAGCACCACGGGTACCGATGATGAGACAACACAACACACGGCGCACACAGCCACGACGTGAACGTGTGTCGTGTGTACGTGTTCCAGCGGCATGATCCAGGAATTCGTGGCGCGAAGGTCCAGTTGCTGCTGGTCGCCGTCATACAGACCTGAGCGCGACGCGCAGATGAGACGACGAGACTCGACTCGGTGGTGGGTAGGTGGTGGGCCGATCGTGAGTGCGCCGTACCAGGGGGGAAGAGGGTCGGGTCGTGAACGGTGTCCTCCTCGAGCACGGCCACCTGCGACATCGCTGCGGAGTGGCTCATGTGCTCCATGTTGACGGCCACCGCGCCGGCGCCCGACTTGTTGCTGGCCTCGGTCGTGGTCGTCGTCGGCGCAGCGCCGGACTCCTCCGCCTCGGGGGCGACCTCATCGATCTTCGTTTCGGCCGTCGTTCGCGGTTGAGCGCTGGGCAGCGGCAGCGGCACGGAGGAGGAGGACCCGCCGTGCGACGAGGTGAGCAGGAGGCGCTCGAACTTGGTCGACTGCCGAAGCGTCGACGCGATGTCCTCGGGCAGGGCCTCCAGCGGGCGCGACTCCGTCGGGAGCAGATGAGCTGCGCGCACACACAGCCCCGCAGTCAGCACGCGCGGGAGCGGATCACTCAATGGGGGCACCGTACCGTAAAAGCCCGTCGGCTTGCGCACGGTCTGCGCCGCGTTGTTGCTAGATTTGGCAGTTAAGAAATCGTTAAGTAGTTGTCGTCGTCGTCGTTGTTGTTTGATGGTGGCAGGCGGTGGTGGGCGTACATGATCATGTCGAGGTGCGGGTAGGTGGCGAGCAGGTGCTCGCAGAACCGCTCCACGGCGGGCAGTTGCCGCATGTCCAGGCCGTAGATGTGCAGCCGGTCCTTCCACTCGGCAAAGTCCTTCTCCTGGGCGAACCGCTGCGCCGCGTCCTTGGGGAAGCGCGTGGTGGCGATCACGAGCGCGCCGCAGCGGAGCAGGACCAGCGCCGCCTTGTAGCCGATCTTGATTCGCGCGCCTGGCCGTGCATACAGAGAGAGACGATCAACACCACGCGAGGCGATGGGCGAGCGACGTCGAGGAGGGAGGCGGCACCGGTCATGAGGGCAATGCGCCCCTTGAGGTCGGCGGTCTGGATGCGCTTCTTGTAGTTGAACGTGGCGCAATCGGGGCACATCAGGTGGTAGAAGAAGTGTACGCGCCTGTAGAGCGCCTTGCAGGTGTAGCACGTGCGCTCAATCTTGAGCTCTACATAAGAAAAAGGAATGTGTGAGAGCGTGTCGTGTGTGTGTGTGTGTGTTGTGTGTGTTGTGTGTGTGTCAATGCACCCTTGGCCATGAAATCAGAGTCGGTGGCATCCCTGTCGCCGCCCTCGTCGACCTCTTCCTCTTCCTCGTCTTCCACATCCTGAACAGTCACCTTTGGTTGCTCGCCTGCCGTTCCAGACACAACGCCAACTGAGGCTTTGGCCGGTCGTCGTAAGTCGGGCGGTGGAGGTTACCTTCGGCGCCAGACGGCGCGGACGTGGCGGATGGGGCGGCCAGGGCGGGCATAGCACCGGCCAGGGCAGGTACGGCCAGCCCCTGGGCGTCGGCCGCCACTTCAGACGGAGGCAGACACTGTGTGATCACGCGACAGTTAGCTGAATCGGCCTGGGCGGTGTGCAGGTGGCCGAGGCCCACGTACGAAGTACTGGCCGAAGGTCTTGCGCAGCTTCTTCTGCATGCGTCGCTGCCCCGTCTGCTCGATCACCTCTTCGTCCTTCTCCAGCAGCTTGCGCTTGTAGTTCTTCTTGCTCTCCCTCTTCTCCTTGGAGCTGGTACACGACCGGCCCCCAACGGTGTTCGGTGATCAATTGCTGAATCGAGTAGCCGCTACGCGAAAGTGATTTTTGTTGATGCTGCAAAGGTACCTTTTACGCAGGGGCTTCATCAACTGGCCGCAGGCGATCCTCAACGCCCTATGGTTAATCGATCGTAGATGATTGTTTAATCAATTAAATTAAATGCTAATTTCAACTGCAACGATACGCTATGACTTACATGTACTTGGCCTTCCTGGCCTCCGGAATGTTGGCCAAGAGGTAGTTCAAAACACGAAGTGCCGTGTCGAAATCCTCAGGAGATGGCGGCGCCGAGCTCGCAGGCGCTTGTGGCGGCGCGGACGGAGCCGTGGTTGGCGCGGGAGGCGAACCCTCCCCTTCGCCCTCGATCTCCATCTTCTCCTGCACCAACTCAAGATGCGGCCCTGGTTGTATTTTTCCTTTTTATTTGATTTATTGTTTTGCACTTTCACAAATTCATTTCCGAAATAATTCTCAGGTGTCTGTCGTGTGTCGTGCGGTGTGTGTGCGATCGTGAGTAGTGTTACAACAGCTCTGCCTCGGCAGAGCTGCTGTTCGTTTCGGTGGCGTTGGTGGTCGCGGCAGCGGCGGCTTCGCCTCCCTCGCTTGTCGTCGGCGCGGTAGCCTGGGGCGCATCGGCACCTTCGCGGTGCTGCTGCTCCTCCCTTCGTCGCTTGCTCTCGCCCTCGCCGCTGCGGCTCGACGGGCTGCGGCTCCTGCTGCGGCTTCGGCTCCTCCGCCTCGACGACGACGATCCGCGCGAGGGACTGCGATCGCGGCTGCGCGAACGGCTACGACTGCGGCTGCGGCTGCGCGAGCGGCTCCTCTTGCGCTTCTTCTCGGGCGTCTGGTCGTCGTGTGATGACGGCGCAGACGATGAAGAGGAGGAGTACTGGCGGGCCATGTCGTACTGCTGCTGGAGCTCCTGCTGCTGCATGAGCTGCATCTGCTGCTGTTGCTGCCACGACTCGGCCAGGAAGGCCTGGGCCGAGGCCGCCGCAGCGGACGGGTTGTAGCCGGGCACGCCGGATACGGTGCTCTTGGCGGCGTTGATCGGCGTCTTCGACTGGCTCACACGAATGGGCCTGCTCGACGCGACTCAGACGCGTGAGCAACCGGAGAAGCGGCGGCAAATGAACAGAAAGAAGCAGAAGAAGCAGAAAAGGTACCGTTCGCCGACGACGGTGCCGTTCATGGCGAGGGCCATGTGAGCCTCGGCCACGGTAGAGAACTCGACAAAGGCGAAACGGGCCTGGTGGACGGTGGTGTCGCCCGCCATGGCCAGCTTCGTCACGGTACCGAAGCCGCTGAACATCTGCAGGAGCTCCGCCTCTGACAACTACAACATTTAAAAAGAAAGAGTTATTAAATAAAACAATGTAATCAATAAAGCCATCGGAAGAGCGGGGGGGGGTACGTTGCTGTCGACGCCGCCCACGTAGAGGGTGCGCGAGGCCCGCTCCTGATAGGTGGGGTCGAACGCGGCCGCAGCGTGCGCGTGGTGCGGCGGCCTAGGCCCGCCACCGCCACCGGGTCCTCCGCCGCCGCCCCGGCTGCCGGCCTGGATGGCGGTCTTGGACGGCATCACCTTGATGGGCGCGTTGCCGAGCACGATGTTGGTCAGGCCCATGGCCATGAGGGCCGACTCGCGCGTGGAGAACTCGACAAAGGCGAAGCGGGTCGCCTTGTTCTCGGTCTCGCCGCACATGCGGATATTAGTGACAGTCCCGCACAGGCTGAACAGCTGAATGACGTGCTCCTCACGAAGCTATATATACGTATATATATATATATAGATCATATAACATTTACAACATGCGCATATAAACGTTGCACATCATGGTCAGTATTTACATACAGCATCTCGTTTGTGTTTCAAAACACAATATCGGAAACGCACCTGTGTGTCGACTCCGGTGACGTAGACGGTGCAGGCGACGCGGTCGTTGGAACCGTGGGCGGGCGCGTAGGCCGGCGGCATGCCCGCGTGCATGTAGGGCATGCCGCCCTGCGCGCCGTACCCCATCCCGTAGGCAGCGCCGTAGGCGTGCAGGCCCATGTGTCCGGCCGCCGCTGACGCGTAGGCGCTCGAGGCGTCGCTCTACGATGAGGGGGAGTTCGCAAGCAATGATGAGTTGGTTGGCTTGCGCGAGAGCGCGGCATCACATGCCCAGGAAGAGGAAGAAGAAGAAGAAGACTTCTGCGCCGCTCATCAGGCGGAAACTGAAACAGACGGGCCGAGCGGACGTCCGTAGTCACTCTGGCGCGTCATACCACATGCCTTGATTGTGTTGTTTGTATTGTTTCGTTTGTTTGGCATTGGTTGTACGTTTGGTTTGGTTTGGTGATTTGTTGTTTGTGAATTGTGCGTTTGGTTGGGGGTTGGGGGTTGGTGGATTTGGGATTTGTTGTTTGCAGTTGTGTCTCACTTAGTCGAGGCTCAAGAGTAGAGAGCGGATATAATTAAACAAAAATGGAGAGAATTAAAGAGGCGAAGGGGCACCTGTGCAGAATGAGCGGAGTGCCCAGAGTGGCTCGAGGTCGAAGAGATGGCCGTCTTGGAGAGGGTGATGCGCAGTTTCTTGCCATCCAGCTCGACTCCGTTCATGTTGCATGCTCTCTGTGCGCCCTCAGGTGTGGCAAACTCGATGAACCCGAATCGCGTTGAGTACGAAGGATCCCTTTACAATCGCGGGGGGGGGGCAATCAATACGTCAATTGAGATGCAAAGGGTGAAAATGTGGACGTTTGTTATGGATTTGAAAGGAAGTGTGGGATACCCAGCAAGCCGAATTTGGATGATGGTATCGCATGTGGAGAAGAAATGGCCGAGCGTTTCACTGTTGAGGTTGCTCGGAATGCATCCCACATAGACGGTTCGCTGCTCAAGCGCTCCTCCACCACCCCCTTGCTGATACATCTTCTCGATCTTGAATTGAATTCAATGGAACAAAACAAATGCCAACGATTTCTTTTCGCATCTTCGGTTGTCGACAACATAAACAAACCTAGAAAATGCTTTTTTCTTTCTGTTTCTCTGATTCTTCTCGGCAAATTGAGATTTACCGCAAAGATGGAAGAACCAGCAGATGACGAAGGTTCCAGCTTCTCTTTTTCGCCCGTACGTGCTCCTATGCCGCAGCACGCACAAGTGAGCATATGTTCAACTTACCTTTTAAACTCTTCACCAGAAACTGGTGAGCAAGCTACTGCAGCTGGGCATGAAGAAGAACACCAAACGTGAGCACGCCTGAACCCTCCCCTCGCTTCGCCCTGGCTCTCTCTGACCTCCGCCCTGCTCTGTTCACAGTGAACGCCGAAGCCTCGGGCCTCAGCGGTGAACTGCTTCGCCTGTTCGTCGTCGAGGCCATCAACCGAGCCGGGAAGCTGACCGAGGCGGAGGGGTCGACCATCATTGAAGCCCACCACCTTCAGCAGATCCTGCCCCAGCTCCTCCTTGACTTCTCATGACCATCATCTTCATCTTCTTCACCATCTTCTATCCTCTACTCCAATAATGAATGTACATCGTTGTGTCCCCAAAGGCATAGAGGATCAAGAAGAAGAGAAGAGGAGGTGGAGGGCGCAGTAGAGGGCGACGGCGCCGACCACCGCGGCCGCAAGCCCGAGGAGTTCGTCGGTCAGTCACCTGCCCAGCTGCTTGCGGTGCTCCTGTACGCACTTGGTCGAGCAGTACTTGAAGCTCAGCCGATAGAACGGCACCGCCTTCTCCCCCATCCGCTTATGGCACAGGTCGCACTCCGGCCCGCCGCCGCTCGCCTTCGCCGCCGACGAAGCCGTTGGCGTTGATGATGATGCCGACGGTGTTGACGACGCCGTTGATGGTGGTGCTGTCGTCTTGGTTGGCATTGGCGTGGTTGATGATGTGGATGTTGGCGTGGTGGCGTCGTCGGTGGAGGTGCCGAGGGTGAGGGAGAGCTGGATGGCGCGCTGGAGCTCCTCGTCGGCCTCGTCCTCCTCCTGCTGAGCCTTACGCTTGCGCTCGCGCTCCTCCTCTTCGGCCTTGCGCTTGCGCTCGCGCTCCTCCTGCTCGCGTCGCTTCTTGGCCTTGCGCCGCTCGTCCTGCTGCCGCTTGCGGGCCTCCTCCTCCTCGCGTTCGCGGGCCTTGCGGGCCTTGAGGGCGTCCTTTCGCTTCTTCTTCTTCTCCAGCTCCTTCTTGCGGCCCTCGACCTCCATCTCCTTCGTGAGCGGCGGCACCTTGGCCTCGTCGTAGTCCCACAGCGTTGGATTGTCTCCAGCAAACCTACGCACGCGCACAGACCGTCAACACTCGCGGCGTCTGTGTCGTCGGTCGTGTGTGTGTG